AGAGACACCGAGTCACTAGAGACACTGGCTGGGAGAAATAGGGACACTGAGAGACATGGGATACTGTGTCCCTAGTGTCTCAGTGTCCCCAATTCTCCCAATGTCTCAGTGTCTCTCAGTGTCTCCCAGCATCCGCTAGTGTCTCAGTGTCCCCAAGTGTCTCAGTGTTCCCGTGTCTCCCAGTGTCCCCTAGTGTCTCATAGTCCCCAGGTCTCCCAGTGTCCCTATGTTTCACAGTGTCCCCTAGTGTCTCCCAGTGGCCCCAAATGTCTCATTGTCCCCCTGTCTCCCAATATCCCCAAGTGTCTCCATGTCTCCCTGCAGCCTTTCCCCCCTATCCCTCACTTACCTGAGCTGTAGGCTGTCTCTGCAGGCAGGGAGCTGCTGTCTGGACACATTATACTGTGTAGCTGCTCCCCCACAGATCAGTGAGTTGAGAGAGGTAGGAATATGCTGTGTTCCTATCCCTGCCTCTATCCACACACAGTAACCCCTACTGGACGGTGGTGGTATTGCAGAGTAATCTCTGTTTATACTGAGAAAAATACCGGCATTTGTATTGCCAGTAATAGTGCAATACATTAGGGATGTGCATGGGCAAAAAAATTGGTTCAGCACTTCCGAAATTCGTCACTTTGGCAATTCGGTTTGGTTCGGCACTTCCGTAATTCCCTAAGCATAACCCTAACCCTAACCCTACCCCTACCCGTGACCCTAACCCTACTAGGGTTAGAGTTGTGGTTATGGGTAATCGTTAGGTTAGGTGTAGGGTTAGGGTTGTATTCCTGTCATCATTCCCTTAATTTTCCCTCCCTCTCCTGTTTAGCCACTTTTCAGAAATTCGAAGCACTTCGGCACTTCTGAAATTCGACACTTCGTCAATATGGTTTGGTTCGGCACATAGGCAATTCGGACATTCGGCCGAATTTAAATTCAGACCAAAACGAATTGCACATGTCTACAATACAGGCACTGACTTTTTATTTTTTTGATAGATGTAAAAATAAATAGAGCAATAAATGAACTGAAAGATGAAGGTTGAATGATTAGTAACCCAAATGCTTCACCACTCTACTACAATCAAAGGGTTACATTTCCATGATGAGAGATCCAACTATTAAATCAATTTATGCCTCTTATTATGCATCCATGCCCTAATCCTGGTGTATAAAGATTTTCAGCAATTTAATATCTCACAAAAGAAAGACAAAATGGGTCCTCATCTTGAAATAATTGTATTTTAGTCTTAAACTGCACTATTCTCTGATTCGAAGTTTAGGTCTGTTACCCTAGGAACAACAAAATATCTATTAAAACAATGTGATATATATGCATACTGATACAAATTCATGGAATACTGAATTGTTGTAGTAAATTAAAAAAAAAATTAGGTAAAAAAATGCAAATTTGGAAAATTCTCTGGCTCAGCTGAACTATTTTGGCTTACATTATTCCATTAAAGGAACACTATAGTCTCCTAAATTACTTTAGCTAAATAAAGCAGTTCTAGTGTATAGATCATTCCCCTGCAATTTCACTGCTCAATTCTCTGCCATTTAGGAGTTAAATCACTTTGTTTCTGTTTATGCAGCCCTAGCCACACCTCCCCTGGCTATGATTGACAGAGCCTGCATGAAAAAATAAACTGGTTTCACTTTCAAACAGATGTAATTTACCTTAAATAATTGTATCTCAATCTCTAAATTGAACTTTAATCACATACAGGGGGCTCTTGCAGGGTCTAGCAAGCTATTAACATAGCAGGGGATAAGAAAATCTTATTAAACAGAACTTGCAATAAAGAAAGCCTAAATAGGGCTCTCTTTACAGGAAGTGTTTATGGAAGGCTGTGCAAGTCACATGCCGGGAGGTGTGACTAGGGTTCATAAACAAAGGGATTTAACTCCTAAATGGCAGAGGATTGAGAAGTGAGGCTGCAGGGGCATGTTCTATACACCAAAACTGCTTCATTAAGCTAAAGTTGTTCAGGTGACTATAGTATCCCTTTAATTTTTCAGTTAAATATAAATTGGCGTTTAGTGAACAAACATCATAAATTCACACATTAATTTGCAGAACAAAAAAAAATAAACCAAACTTTTGTGGTCATTTACTCCTTCTAAAGTTTGGTAGTGAAGGAAAGACCTGTCTACATTTACAGTATATGGCAGAGGTGCCCAAAAGATAGATGCCCAGATGGTTTAAAACTACAGTTTCCATGATGCTTTGTCATACTAAAGGTATTCTAAAGGCATGTAAAGCAGCATGGGAAGTGTAGTTCTACAACATATGGGGATCTACCTTTTGGGCACCCCTGGTATATGACCCCTTTTTTCTGATAATTCAAAGAGTACCCGAAGGGCTATAATAATTGCAGCTTATTGTACCGCTTACTGTACATAAATCTTTTGGTATTCTCCCTCCATTTTAAAGAATTAGCAAGTAATAACACCATCCATTTCCGTCTCAGCAGTGCCAGGGCACACAATGCAAATGAGGAGGGAAATAGATACATTGTTTCATTTCCCTTCTTCGCTGTATACTTCCTCCATGGTTATTGTCAGGTGCAAAATGGAGTTTATAACAATGATTGACAGGGAGTCAAAATGGAGGCACCCAGCTGCCGGATAAAAAGTGTGTTGCTTAAATTAAAAAAAAAAAAAAAGAATTTGCAAAAAACTGTCAGTTCCCCTTCAACCTGCAAATCCAAACTTGGCCAAAACTTGGGGAGTAGCCCATAAGGATACAAGTGACCATTTCTCCTATAACAAGATCCCTCCTATGCCCTGTCTATACAATCTATTTTCCAATAATTTAACACGTCGGGCATGACTGACCAGCATACAATGAGCTAGTTACACCCAGTGTATTTTTAGGCTAAACCTGCTTCCTAGGGCTGAAGGTTCTCAGCTTGATCTTGCATATCCTGTGGTTTTAAATCATTTAAATCCCTTAAGGTGATAATTTCCTTAGCCATCTAGCTTATTTCGCCTGTCATTTGGGGTATATATCACTGCAGACCATTACTTAAATATGCACAAATTACAACGTGCACCAAAGCCATTAAAATTCCATCAGCTCCATAGAACTGGAAAGAGCTACAATCATATTTTTATTATGTAATAATGCTGAATTCTCCAACATTTTTCCATGGAGTAATTATCAGAATTACACAAGATTGAGCCATAAAATAGCATAAACACCAGGATTCATTTTTTAGCTTGTACAATGTAGATGTACAATGGACATAACACATTGGACATTATTGGTTATTAGCAGACATCTCACGTTGATGAATAAAGTTTAACAGCCACTTCAGAACCCCCTGCCATGCTCATCTATACAGCTATTTGTTAAGTGTTTCATTAACACACCTTGGTTTGCTTCTGGTGTACAGAAGGATAGTGCACTCACGTTGTTTTTTTACCCTGCAGTTAGTCCTTTATATATTTTTTTTTATATCAATTAATCTTTATTTTATGAATTCTCAACCTTTTTTTATGCTGTGTTGAGCAAATGTATCAGTAGGTATAACAGGATTGTACAGAACAGGAACACTCCACTGCCCAAATAAAATAAAAAAATAAACATATTTTTTTAAATCGCTGTTTAGTAGATAGACCTCTAATTAAAACACACATGCATTTAATTATGCATTTTTTTTCCCCATTACTGGCATATCTAATTACAGCTTGCAAAAGCTGCAGATTTCTTGTCTGCTGCTTTTGTAACCCCTCCCCTTCTAACAGCACCCAGACTTTCTGTAACTGTCCAATCACAGACTTCACTATGCAACTCAATGATAAGTTTTTGCAAATGAGATGGTCTGGGCAATTGCTGCCTCTTGAGTTTAGCTTCACTGGACTAACCAAACCAGTAGGTAACATGACCTGTTTTTCCGAATGACAGGCAGGGGTGTATAACCAGGTTAATTTATAAAAGGTTTATTTATTTCCATTAACACCTGCACTTTTTGGAAAATGAAAAAAGAGGACACAATCTTCACACACAAAGCACTTCAGCTGGCTGAAGAGTCTTAAGGGTCTGGAATGTCCTTTTAATGGAACACACTAACATTTTTAATTTTCTCATGTTAGCGTGTTCCATAGTATATATAAATTACTGGCCCCCAAACCATTTAAAATAAGCGATTGTCAGAGATCATTTGACGCTCTCAGCCAATGAGCTAAGCCCTGCTTGGGAACTAGAGTCTCCTGAGTTAGTAGAAGATGTAGGGAATGTTTCCTCTAGGTAAAAAGTCAAACTTTTCAAAACCAGTTTGAATACTTACAACAACGGTTACCTAGGCACTCCTGGCACCAGAACCACTCCAGTGTTGAAATTTTTTTAAGTAGTAGTTTTTTTTTTAGAAGTAAAAATAACTTTCTTTCTTTCCAAAAAACATTTTTTTGATTGGGGATAATCCACAGGTCAGTGTTGGCTGAGTACAAATTCTCAGTCTGGTTGAAAGTTAATAATGCTTCTTTGACGTGTTTCCATTTATTATTTTTTTTTTAAGGGGCAGTCTAAACACCATAATTATTACAGGTCATAGTTGTATTTATTGTGCAAGAGCTCATGGTCCCTATCCCACTTATTTGTCAGGTGGTTATAAATGGTTTGACAAAACCTACCCCTGGTGCTTTCAGCCCATAATTGCTATTCTGGTTCGATGAATTGATATTGGTAATGGGGAAGAGTACATTTGTGCATTATTAAAATCGGCACTGTCACCTTTTGCCGAATTCGCAAAGTCCCCTGTCTGTGACATTGCCGCTGGTGGTCCATTTGCCAAGACGGGCAGGTAAAGGTGAGCGACAAATTCACACACCTATACATATAACAGGCACTAATACAAAGCAATAAAAAGCCCAAGATTAAAATAATAATAAATTATAAAATAGCTATAAAAGAAAATGTCCAAACTTTGAGGTGCAGCTGGTGCAACGGTAGAGACGCCTTGAGAATTATTTTCTCGTAGGGATAAGGAAATCAAAGATGGCGTTGGATCCATATCCACATAGAGAGAAGAACAGAGAAGAAACTACAATAGTGTAATATGCCACAACAGAATATTGTGTAATATGCAGATCGTTATGGTCTTACTCACATTTCATAGAGCTAAAACAAGCTCTGGTGTTGTTTGCATTCAGTGGTGTTGATCCCCCACTGGTGGGATATTGGTGAGTATACATCCAGTAAAAATCTCAGTAGTGTTGTAACCCAAAAGAAAAAAAAACAAGGAGCAATAATGTTTTCTGTATAAAACTTACTTAACATTTATAAAAGGTCTTATACTCACATTTGCTCAATGTTTAAAATGAAAGTGGCATAATCCCCACCTAGGATTGAGGTCTTCTTTGGAGCTGTAGACAGGAAGCCTGGTTGACTCTTTTTGAGGCTTTATTTCCAGGATTGGGCAAAAAGTGATCTTCAGCTTTTGTAGAATCCCACCTCCCACAATTCTTTGCCAGTCTTAATACTGGTAAAGTATCACGGGAGTGGTAGTTCATCTGAGGTCTACCATTTGGACTCCCCCCAATGAATAAGGAAAAATGTAAATTGTAATTTTATACTTATAATATATTTGCCTTTTTTCTAAATTAACAGCACAATCTCGATCAGAGCTTCATATAAAAGAGTGTTTTGGATATTTACTACAGGGATAATTCATGTGGCACTTCCCCTTTTTAGCTCAGTTTCTACTGCACTGGGTCCATAGAGACTCAACACTTCCTCTTTAGAGGTATTAGCATTTTCTGTTTGTTTGGTACGTTAAGTTCTTGAATGATTACAAAAACAAACTTCATTTAAATTAAATGTTGTGGTCTCCATCTTCTATATTGTGATGTTAAAAAGCATGGTTAAGCGTGATAGGAAAAAATCCTTGAAGGAAAAGGCCCCCATCCCTTATTATTATCTACTGTATTTAAGTCAATATTTTCGAATGATTGCATTTCAAATGCTCAAAGAAGGAAACCTCCATTTTAGGTGGTGTTGCCGATGGTATGGTCATGGATATTTTAGGTGACTTCACAACTCAAAGTAAATTAAATTTAGAAAAAGCCCGTAGACACAAACTTATTTTAAACACATTTGTTGTAGTTTAAAGGTACATTACAGTGAGACTTATTGCTGTAAAGACTCACTCAAGACAGACCGAAAATGTAGGGCTCTATTAAAGTGGGACATTAGTTGAGAGGGATTTAGGCCCAAATTAGGGATTGTCTCTCCTAAATAGGTATAATGCTGACGTATGTTTCCCCTATCATTATTTCTTAATAGCAATTATACTTAGATAAAACTTTGATCTAAATAATTTCCTTAACTCCGTCCTAACACCCACAAATGCCATGAAATTGATATTAAAGTGTAAGCACACTGGCCAAAGTCAGACTTTTTGTTCGTACGTTTGGGCTGATGAATACTATTAACATTATGGTTGCCTAAGAGTAGTGGGAATTTAAAAAAAAATAAAAAATTTAATTTTACTTATTGAAGAATCAGCCTTACTAATCCTATCCGTGAGGTCCTATAAGTATACATGTCTCGAGAAATAGGGCCACTTCTAGACTATTGTGAATGGCAACTTTTACAAACGCTCACCGTAAGCAAACGTGACAGCTATAAAGCTTTTCAATGCAGTTGGCGCACTCGAGAGAAATTATAATTGTGTGCATCCGTGTACAAACCTACGCTTGTCTGCATGGCTATCGGGGTGGCGGTATTGAAAAGTCTGTTAAACACTTTACACCTGAAATGGTCAATTTGTGGTTTTTGAAAACAACATTTATCATTCAGCTGGCTCCAAGGGACCAAGCTAGCGCAGCCTGTCGTCATATCTACTTAAAAAGCTAAAGCTGCTGGCAGACGCCATTTCCTAATAGACCATTTTATTCTGGAAGAGAATTCTAACTGTAAATGGGTTGGAAGATCATCTAGTGAATAAACCGGTGTTAATTTTACACCAGTGCAGAATAATAAGTCTATGGAGAAACATAATCTCTGTCACATGTCGCAAAAGCTATAGAGTAATGTGAATCGGATTCCAGTAAAATATCCACAAAGCAAATTAACATATAATGGCACAATTATTTTCAACGTTACAGCCATACCTTATATTGAAAAAAAAAAATGAAAAACCAAAGATCATTCTATTTTGCCAGCCAAAGAATTAACAGTTTAATGTCTTTAGTGGTAATTGCTAGATACACACATGCTCTGTGAGCGATATAAGCCAAGTCCGTTAATGCTCTAATATAGTGACTACTAAGACGCCAACGTTGCATACCTGCCCAGCCAGAGACATTACAAATAGGCTGAATATGCATGGGCCATAGGAGGCAAGTTGAAGGAGGTGGCACGTCCTGGCGCTTATTTATTCCTTTTCTTTAACTATACATTACAAGACAGTTGTTGCTGAAAAAAGCAGCTTTCAGATTTATACTGGGCTGTGTGAGTGGGTCCCCGGATGCCCATTGTGTCACAATATCCATCTGTCTCTCCCACAGACTTACATTGGTGCTAAGCAGCCAGCACTCTACCCGATACTCAATAACAGGTGCACTAAGGTAACCCCACTACCCAAACACATACTGCAGTAGGTTGCAAGAATACAATGGGGATGCCGAAATGAGAACTTATATACAAGGCAGTAACTATTGGCACCAGACCACTTCAGGTCATTGAAGCGTTCTGGGTGCAGTGTCCCAGCTCCCTTAACCCTGAGCAGTTAATTATTGCAGTTTTTTCTGAACTGCAATAATTACCTGCCAGGGTTAACTCCTCCTCTATAAGACAGCCACTAGAGGGACTTCCGGGTGGTTAGGTGACTTTTGGTCGGATAAATGATGCTGGACATTCTTGTGCTATGCATGAGCACTTCCAGTGTCACCGGAATCCTCATAAGAAAGCATTATTGCTTTCCGATAAAGAAATCCTAATGCAAGCTCGGCCATTGCCGCGCATGAGTATTAGTTCTCCCCCGCTGGCTGGCGTTGGCAGGGGAGGAGTGAAGGCGGACCTGACCCAGCACCGAGGGACATTGGCGCTGGTCCTCGGCTAAGTGACAGACAAAGGTTTTTAACCCCTTCTGCAGCATGGAGGGGGGGGAGTTTGACAGAGAGGGAAGCTATCGTGCCAGGAAATTAGTTCATTTTCCTGGCACTGTATAGTTTCCCTTTACGTGTTGCTCCTAACAGTAGATCACTTTAAATGGCAGTGTTCAAGGAGGGAACCAAGACAATGTTCAAGAGTATGAAGCCATTGGAGTATAACCATACTGGTGTATGACTCATCCATACATACTAAAGTAATACAAATATTATATATATTTATTTTTTAGATCCCACCCAGGATTTAGGAGTAACATTATTATTCAGGTCACAGGTTGTGGGTGGGGAAGCATTATAGTGGCACTTTAAGGTACAGTAAGCAGCAAAAGTAAACCTGATATTTTCTCTTAAAGAATAAGATTATAAAACAAGAGCTGAAAACATCCCGACCTCATTAAGAGATTCATTATAGATCTTTCCTTTCTTTAGATTTTGAAAAGAACTAGATGCCACTCAAAAAAAATAATAATGACAATAATCACAAAGCATAACGGAAACAATACGTCTAAATATACTATATAGTCTTGAATGATAGACAACTAAGGAAGTTATAAAACAAAACCTTCCTCGCCTGATTATCTAGAAAAAGAAAAATTAGAAAAACAAAAATATTCGGGATTTGACACAGAAATACAATCTGAAAAGGAAAAAAAATATATAAAAAGTTTAAACAGAAAATCACATACATTATCAGTAGCAAAAACACACGGTGGAACAATAGAATGGTGTACGCAAACTAATCATATGGGATTTTATACATATATTGTCCCTTAAAGGGACACTGTAGGTACCCAGACCACTTCATGTTTACATTGCAGCTCTAAGACTGCCCTCAGTGGCTGTCTACCAGACAGTCACTGGGGGTGCTTCCGGAATCGTAACTGACTTTTGGTCTGTTATCTGAAGTTGGACGTCCTCACGATTTTTTCCACATAGGAAAGCATTGATTTAATTTCTCCCTGTGTCCCCAAGCGTCTCAGTCTCCCCAGTGTCCCCTAGTGACATGGGGACACTAGACGATATGGGGACACAGAGTGTAGAGGACACTGGCTGGGTGAAATAGGGACACAGAGACATGGGATATTGTGTCCCTAGTGTCTCAGTGTTCCCATGTCTCCCAGTGTCCCTATGTCTCCCTGCTGCCTTTCCCCCAATCCCTCACTTACCTGAGCTGTAGGCGGTCTCTGCAGGCTGGGGAGCTGCTATCTGGGCTCATTATGCTGTGTAGCTGCTCCCCCGCAGATCGGTGAGTAGATAGAGGCGGGGATATGCTGTAACTTCCTATCCCTGCCTCTATCGACACACACAGCGACCCGTACTGGACGGTGCGGATATTGCAAAGTAATCTCTGTTTATACTGAGAAAATTACCAGCATTTGTATTGCCAATAATACTGCAATACTGGCACTGACCAGGCAGCAGGTAAAATACCGGCCAGGTGCAACCCTAAGAGTAGTGTGTAAAAAAAATAAATATATATATATATATATATATAAATATTTTATTCTTTTACGCAATGGGCCTATTCCATAGGCATGGATCTGCAACTCCATCAACCCCATGTTAATCAGGCCCTGAGGTACACTATAAGCGCCAAAACCACTTCAGCTCATTGGAGTGGTCTGGGTGCATAGTCCCAGGTACCTTAATCTTAAAAATGTATTTATTACAGTTTTCTAGTGGACATGAGGACATCCAGCGTCATGTAAAACCCCATAGGAAAGCAATATACATGCTTTCCTATAGAGAAAATACTAATGCGCCGTAGGAAGGGGGGTGAGGCAAGTTGGAAGGGTGCACTATAGAGAAAAGAGCCAAGCTGTGACTGCAGCCAAGATGGAGATTTTGGCCCAAAATTTGTCAAAAGGATTTAAATTTGCTCTGATTCGGAGTTTAGTGAAATACCATCCAAGTGTAGATTCTGAGCTTGTGACTGAACGCCTTGTAATAATTTTGTCTTGCATCACAAATGGGATTAATTTTTTTTCAGCCTTTTGTGATTTTTTTTTTTTTTAAATAGATTTTTCACATTACACAGAATGCACATTTGCCAACTCTTTGAAGCATGAAGCAGAAATAGAAAGGGTTGGGGGTAGCTCAGGGGAGTGTCAGTGACTCTGATACCTCATTAATATAGAATGCTGAAATTAGCCGAGCAGTTATGTTTTCTTACACAGAACCAAACTCAAGGCTAATTGCAGGCCTGATTTAATAAAATGGGCCGCAACCAGTGTTGGGGGAGCAATCTAAGAACTTCTGGTGGACGGATAGGAACCTGCTTCTCTCAAAGCGCGCTTTGGGAACCGGTAATGGATTAACCCTTCAACCAGCACCTGTTTTTTGCCACAGGTCACAAGTGCATAAAGTGTGACTTAACTAGAAAAAACAGGACTGTTGACAACTATGAGAATGTTGTGTTGACAAAGCAAAAAGAACACCATAACCACTTAATCATTATGCCACTGTTCAGTATTAAACTGCTTCTAACTGGTTTAACACAGTACGTGGGTCTCACAGTCTGGACTCTCTCTCTGCTCAGACAGCAGCAGACATAGGCTAAGAGCCTCTTTTGAGTTCAGCCTATCAACTCAACAGTTGCCACCCATTGATGGTATGCGTTGGTATGGCCAACACAAAGTTACATTCCAGATTAACCATACCCTGCAATAGATGACCGAGCAAGTGGTACTCTGATACCCTCATTCAGTGTCTAACCAACTGAGAATATTTTAACACTGAATAGTGGGCGTTCTGCCATTTTAAAATACTAGTCTATTGAGTCCGAAGGGTCCCACTGGGACAATGCTATATCATAATATTCTGTAACTGTAATCAGCTGAATCAGAAAAATAGAATTTCTGCTGACAGACAAAAACTATATGCTCTCCAACCACCAGAACTACTTAAGCTTCATTAAGTGGTTTTGGTGCATAGATCACACCCCTGCAGTCTACACACTCCCTTAAGATGTGGTCATGGTGCAAGCAATTTGTAAGGGCAGCGTTTCAGCTTGAAACACCGATTATACAAAGATATTACAGATTGCATGCTGGTGTGTAGTTACACCTGCGGCACACATGACTTAGCCCAGAAATCTAAAGTCTGTTGACAGCACACACTGTGCTCTAGAAACAAATGTAATCAGTTTCAATGAAAGGAGAAGCATGTTTCCACTCTGTGAAATTGGCAGTCCTTCTAACCTTAGATGCCTCTCTACGTTCTGTTTTATGGGCCTAAATTTCTCCCCTATCCTTCTCCCCTTCAGTTCCATTCCTATATGGTTATGCAGAAGATGCTGGCTGGTGGAGCTTTGGCTTCGGAAGCATCTTGAATGCACACAGAGCTCACATCTGTGGTGTAGCATTCACTGCGCCTGATTGGATTCAATGGGTTCTCTATCAGAATAAACCGATTGGTGTGTTGCAGGACTTGCTGCACATGCACCCAGGGTCCAACAAAGCTTCTCTATGAGAATCATTTAATTGGATCGCTGATCGGGAACCAGGGACACCGCATGATGATTGATAAGGCGTGAAAAGAATCTAGGAAAATTTGGCCCAACATTGGATTCAAGGTACATTTTAAGCTTAATTTATGTATTTCTTTTTATTTGCATGGTGGTGGGGAGAATAAGTGACAAGTGCCCAATAGGAGATTTAAATCAAAAATAATAAAAGTTTAAAAGCGAAAGAGGACTTCTAAGTGCACAGCTTTGAGCAGCCTGGCACTCAGATGCCCTGTTACAACTGGACCTTCAGTGAACCCCCTACTTACAATTCACTGCTGGTGTGACTAGTTTGAACAATACATTTGGCCAAAATAAGAAAAGGAAAAAGAATAAGGAACAAGAAGACAAAAGACATAATTCATGTTTCTTTTAATTATGATTTCAGGAAAAAAAAAAAGGTGTAGCTTTGAAAAGATCTTGCCATTGTGTAAACCTGAAGAATTGAGAAGCAACCTTTCTGAGAATATCTGACCGCCTTTACATCTCGGAAGGATCTTTGCAAAACATTACTAAGCCCTCCAATACTGAACTGGCTAAAGCTATTGTGTGGACCCGTATGCCTCCGAATGTCAATTAACTGATTGTGTCTAGAGACTGCCTTAAAATATTTATATATGTACATAAACATATATATTAAATTAAACCAACAACCTCTGTCTCCGTTTCTAATAAGCAATACTATTTTTTTCTTTCAAATAAAATTTTTAAAACGTCTAAAGAAATAAAATACTACTATTAAAAAAAGAAAAAAAAAGAAAAGAAGTAGGTTTGTTTTGTAAATCACATTTGAACTGTATAGTCCGTCACCTTCACAAACATACGTGAGGAATAGTAAAAAAAAAAAAAATTTGAAAATCTTAGATTAGAAACAAATAAAATACCTAAATAAATAGAAAACAGAAACTGGAGATGGGGATATTTTAAATTTCATATTTCCACTATGTCAGCCAATACTCTATAACGACAAATGCTACACTTTTTAAATTAATAAGAAAAAAAAAAAAAAAAAAGCAGCAATAATTTCTTTCCGCAGAAATGTTAACAGAGAAATACGCCAACGCTAGAACATATCATGAACTTCTGCCAGTTTTATTCTCTTTGTAAAGTCCAGATAGCTACAATTGCACTTTTGCCTCTTCAGTGTTTTCAGACAGAAGGTCTTTGGTGTTCTCTGTTACACTGCTGTCTTTTTCTCCAGGGACATTCTCAATTTCAGACTTGGTCCCATTAGACAGAGAGTGCTTTCTGTTCATATAGCCATTCTCATTGACTGAAGAGACGGTGAAGACGTCATATATTTTTAGCTCCTCTTCTTGATCTCCCGCACCACCGTCCTCTAGATTTCTCAGCACCATGGGAAGTTTAGAATCCACCACATTGTTTTCTAGAAAAGCAATGTTGCTCTCCTCATATTTTGGAAGTGGAACGTTATCCTCCAAATTCTTACTGTACAACCTCCGATTATTAGATGCACTTTTTACGGCCTTTTCCAATATCTCCTTTTCCACAAGGCATAGCTTAACAGCCATTGCTGCATGAAAGGACAGGTCTTCTTGCTCCAAAATATGTTTATCGTCCTGGAAATAATAATTAGGAGATTATAAAAGGTGCAACACTTGGCCAATTTTATAATACACATTATATGAATGGGACACGCTAAACAGCATAACCTCATTTGTCCAAATTATTAGGAAAGCAGGATTCAAATGAGTCCCACTGCTGATAATCTTCCGTGTGCCATGAAAGCTACTTATCGTAATTTACCACAATGTGAATTGTCAGGCACTCCAAGTGAACTTTACATTTGAGGCAAAAAAATTGCTGAATTGAAAAATTTGTTTCATTTCAGCTAAGTTTTCAGTTAGACTATCTTGGTCAAGACATGAAATACCATTTTAATTTCTGACAACCGTGAAAAGACTTCTTCATAAATTAGGAGGCCAAATTTACTTATTATGCTGTCCAAGGCAAAACAACCAGGCTTTGGGTGCTGGAAAACACTTTTTTTTGTCAAAATACTTCCACCATAGCCACTAAAATAACCTGTAGCAGTTACTGTGTTTGGAGACCATTTTGATTAAGGATGTATTAAAATGGTTTCCTCCAAATCGCTACTAAATATGTAAAGTTTTATGTCTATGCTTAAATTGTGTAAACTTAATTTTATGTAGGGTTTAATACCAATCAATCACAATGCATCTCTCGGCTAACCTTGTTGAACTTCTCACTGGATGCAGAGTTACCACCCACATATTAGGTTAAAAAAAATGGGGTTACAGTAAAAAGACCAATTTTGAGCAACGTTTTAAGAGCCACCACCATGGAATCCAAAAGGTAGTCCCTTCTCACTGCTTCAATTTTAGAATTCAGAAAATTCATTTTTCTTTTACACTTTTCAGATCATACTTGTAATAGTAGTCAAGCAACAATAGTTGGAGGTTGTGGACGTGTAAGCAACAATTGTTGGAGTAAAGCTTACCAGTCATGGACATGTAACCACAACAATTATTTCACACAGAGGGAGAGATATAAAAAGAAATACAGGCAGAAAGAGGAAGCAAAATATATATTTACAGATACGTAGAATGAGAGTAAGAAAGAGAAGGGCAGAAAGGAACACACACAACGCAAGAGACACACAACTGAAGAGAAAATCAGGAAAGGGAAAAGGACAGAGAGTGAGAAAGATACAGATTGAGAGAATGTAATCTTTATTATAAAGAAGACAAAACAGCGGCACAACAGATTTTTATCAAGTATGAAATAAAGGCTTGGGGTAGAAGAAGACTCACTTCTATGGTGGTTTTATAGGTCTTTAATAGAAGCAAAGCTCTGGCTTCAAGGAATGTCCATAGTTTAATCTCATTGTCCCAGCTCACTGGAAACTCGGAATTCCCAAGGGTAAAGATTTTATCAATGGCGCGTTCTCCTATCAGATGGTCTTTCAGTTCATCTGTAAAAACACCCAAGTGAAGATCATTAGAAGGCAGACTTCAAATCCCAAGAAAACAATTTACAGTTACCGCAGATATTTCCATTTGTGCAGAACAATGCAGATTATATCTGCAGACTCCTGATTTGAATTTCTGGGTCCATAGGAGTGTATTTTATGAGGATCCATACAGTATAGAAGTACCTGTAGAACACACTCTATAAATGTGACGAGTGGTACTTCTATATACCAAGCAAAATCTACCACTAAAAAGAACTATTTAAGCACATTTTTATTCTGAATTAAATGCTGTGAGGTTCAGGACACAGTATTTTAAAGATTGTGGGGAGGAGGGAGAAATTACAGATCTAGCCAGCTGACTCAAAACCATTTAGCAAACTTGATACAACAGTTTCCACTGACTTTTTGTTATTTAAAGATTACATGTAATATACCATGTGTGTGTATTCTGTTGCAATGCATACAATAAGTAAATTACGATTTTGTGCATCTCCTGGTTTACTCTTGCTCTACGAAGGAAGCCATCTTTAAATCCTCTGATCGGAAGCATAGCTTATTCAAGCAAATAAATGGGCAAGTAAGAGCTAGTGTGCAATCATAGCAATATCTGCAAATACAGGGCTTCTCAAAAATGCACTCAGGTTACAGGCCTTGGAACGTTTTTATTGTAAGTAGTGCTTCTGACTAAAGTGGGCAAAGTCCAGTTTTTTTTGTTATAGTCCTTACCCTCACTCATGCAGAAAACTCGAAGGAAAGCCAGCATTTGGGCAGAAATTGGAGGTTCTGTGATGTGAAGAGCAAATACACTGGAGCTGAAAACAGACAACAAAATAGGATGATGGAACAGGCAGGCATTTATAAAGCATCAACCTATTCTGCAGCGTTGTGACATATTTTAGGTACAGAAAAAGATGTGAAATTTGCCTTTAGCTGGCACCAGCAAGGTGATTTGTATGTGTTATAGCCCTATTCAAGGTTAAGTATGTAGGGGTTTATAAAACCCCCCTTCATGTCTCATTAGAGATGTTTACACTTTGTCTGATACCAGCAAAGATTATTGTATGTGTAGAAGCCCTATAAAGGGTTAAATGTGAAAGGGTTTATAAAATACCCCTTACTGTCTCACTGGAGTTTCTTGGCTGATAATGGCTAGTGTAGGACTCCCCTATTGAGGCTTGCCTTGACGTGGCAGGTGAGCTTATATTCAAATGGCCATTGGAATAAAACTAAAGAGCCTCCATTTTGTTTCAATGTACATAGGGATTTAGGCCAGAGCGCAGGTAACGTTCTCTTTGTTTTTACTAGGACATTGGCCAAGAGCAATCAGCTTAGTAGAACTAATGGAAGAACCTAAATTGAAGATTCTGGCTGTCTTGGCAGCGGAGAGGAGGTAGGGAGCAGAGGCTGGCGAGTGGTGGACCAGTTCACTTCTGCACTTAATGGAACACTATTGGGTCAGGAACACAAACACACACAAGTATTCCTGACCCTGTAGTGTTTAATACATAGTTTAGGTGGCTTGCACCCCCTTAAAAAAGGTGAAAACTTACCTTATTTCTAGGGCCACGCTGGTCCGCCGACGCTGGCCCCGCCCCAATCCGCCTCCTTGGTGACATCAGAATTGCCGATTTTACTTAAATCGGCAAGGGGTGAGGCCAAACACCTTTTTAGCCAATCAGCACCTCCTCATAGAGATGCATTGAATCAACGAATCTCTGAGGAAAATTCAGCGTCTTCATGCAGAGCGTGGAGACGCTGAACGGCAGTGCTGCCTACTGTGCAGCACTGCGCCAGAAAGCACCTACAGTGGCCATCTGAGGAGTGGCCACTTGGAGGTGTCCCTAGGGCAGAACTTGAAAAATCCCAGCCGCCAGGTCGCCATTGCGCCTGGTATATACGAGCACCTTACCTCCAATGAGAGCGGGCGGCGGTGGCTGGCGGATTATGGAGGCAGGCGGCATGCTTGGTGGTTGTGGCTACGCAAATAGAAGGCGGGCGGTGAGGGAGCTGGCACAGTGAGAGTGTGTGTGTTTCTGATTGTCTTGGTGTGTGTGTGTGTGTGTGTGTGAGTGTGTGTGTGAGTGTGTCTGTAGGTCTGTGTGTGCGCATGAGTTTGTCAGTGTGAGTGTGTGTCACGGTATGTGTGTGTCTATCTGTCATGATGTGTGTGATAGGTGACCAGACCCCCCCTTCCGTTCGCAAGGGAATGGGGTTTTTACTCACCTTTTTTTCCGTGCTGGTCTCCCCTCGACTGGCCCTGCCTCTATGGCTGAGATTATCAAGCTTGATGAGCTCAGCCAATCCATTGTTTTGCCATACGATTGGCTGCAAAACGCTGCAGCCAGAGACGCTGAATGTAGGTGCTGCAAACTGTGCAACACTGACACAGGAAGCACCTCTACTTACCATCTGAGTGACAGTCACTAGGGGGGGGTCACTAGGAAGCAATGTAAACACTGCATTTTCTCTGAAAAATCAGTGTTTACAATGAAATGCTTGCAGGGACAGGCTATAGACACCAGAACCACTACATTAAGCTGTAGTGGTCTTGGTGACTATAGCTTCTCTTTAAGAATTGTATTTTAAAATCTGGCTCCTTTTTTATTAGCTGGTTCCTAGATTCAAAGCAAATTTGTCAAGCCATGCCCTAGGGGGCAATGTAAACACTGCCTTTTCTGTGAAAAGGCAGTGTTTGCATTAAAATGATTGAAGGCAATGATTATACTCACCAGAACAATTACATTAAGCTGGTGACTATAGTGTCCCTTTAAGTTATGTTGGTACACAGAGTATGACCGGTGCGCGTAGTGTCCGTTTAATCTCAGACAATACATATAAAAATTGTTATGCAATTCACCTCTTCCAGATTCCTTTAAACTGGTGGTATGTGTGCAAGTCACATGCCTAAAAACAACCCCCAGGCTCCTCCAGACATATCTACTGTAACTTCAAAGTGTCTACAGTTTCTCTGCCAATCACAGTCTTTCCATGGAAAGAAAGGTAAATTTTGGGGTGCAGCACTGCATGTTTAAGGGAAACTACAGGAGGAAATGACCTCCTTCAATGCACTGTTGCAGCTGTAGGATAACTGTTCCCTAAGCAGGAAGAGTCTCTTATGCCATATACCGTCACAATTATCACATACGATGTCTGGAAATACTCTGAACTGACAGCACTGTACCATAGCTGCTAGCTGTTAGCATATAGTCAGGTCGACTCTCTTTGTGGATGCACAGTTCATTACTGGGCTCGTTTTTTCCCCATGTTTTCCCCGATAACGGACTGGTAAAAAGGGGCATGCCACCAGGCAACTGTCCTATTAAAAATTAACCTCCCCCCATAAACTAAACATTTCCCCCAATCTACTACATTAGTTTCATACAGCAGGAAAGTTTAAAAACGTATCATTGCCTATGAGTTCATAGTATACCAACAACACAGCTTCTGTCAGCCTCATCTCCCAGAGATGAAGTAAAAATGGTAGATGTTGGCCCTGAAGAGGAAGAGCTTCAGGCATGTGTACTTGTTGCCCCCTCTTCAAGTGAATGCCACCATGCAGGTTAACATATCACCCTGGGTGTGACCTTACAAGTGACACTTTTGCTTTAAGAAAACTGGTCTCTTCACAGAGATTAATTCACATGTTAAATGTCCATTAAAAAAAAATCAAAAAAAAATCAAAAAAAAATCTCACTCTTGGTCAAATTACAAAAATGGCTCTGTACATGCCACTTACGTTGGTATGCCGGCTCTGGCTAGGACTTCAGCCTTCATTGCATACAACCGGTCGCTTTTACTGACACCCAGCTTTATTTTCACTCGGTCGTGTGAATTGTTTTCGAAGAAGAAGCCATTGTGGATCACAAATTCAGCATTTGACCGGGTGCCGTAAAATATGTAAATCTGTGGAGGAAAGAGGAATCAGTGATGCGTTCCAAAACTGACATTCAATAAACAACAGTATCAAAAGGGGCTAAAGTCTTCCACCAAAGAGAGGCCTTTTTTTGTGTCCTTTGGAAAGAAAATAAAAGTCGCTGCGGAATGTTTATCTAATAATGATAGCAGAATAACAAGCAACAGCCTCCCACCCTATAAAAATGATTGAGCTGCTCTAAGTATTACCGGTCTGGCTTTTTATTCCGTAGATGGTTTGCCCTGGGAGCCTGTCAGGGGGAATGAAGGTCATGTCGTGGATGAAAAACACATCAGCTGTAAACACGTAGCACATGGGTGACTAAAGAAATCTATTCAATGCCCAACAACAAATATTCTTACATTTCATTACACTGCAAAATGGGCATACAGTTACTTTCATAAGTAAACAGACAATGGCACAATGTTGATAATGTTGGTTCTCTATGCCAGGCCTGTCCAACCTCCCCCCCCCCGCCAGAGGGAAGCATGATCCTTTCTATGAAACAGAGAGCCAGGGAATCATGGGAGTTGCAGTTCAGCAACATCTAGGGAGCCACAGGTTGGACAGCCCTGCTATATGCCAACCCTATGGATTTGAGATAAAGCAGAAGATGTGACTGACGTATACAGTAAGCCTTAATTCAAAGGGTTTATATAGAATTCCTCCATTTTCAGGGGGGTTTGAAAAGTAATTGGACAAAACGATCATAAATAAAATGATCATTATTAATAGTTGGTTGAAAATCCTTTGCAGTCAATAGCTTCCTGACATCTGGAATCCATAGATATCACTGAATGCTGGGTTTCTCCCTAATAATGCCTTAACAGTCTTTACTATAGTTGTCTTGAGCTGCTGTGTGTTAATAGATCTGTCTGCCTTCAGTTTTGTCTTCAGCAAGTGAAAGGCATGTTCAGTTGGGTTGAGGTCAGGTGACTGACTCAGCCATTGAAAAATGTTTCCACTTCTTTGGTTGCTTTCACAGCATATTTTGGCCCACTGCCCAACTGCACCGTAAAGCACGTCCTATCAGTTTTGCAGCATTTGGTTGCATCTGAGCAGGCAGTATAGCCCTGCACACTTCAGAACCCATGCAGCGGCTTCTGTCGGCAGTCATATCATCAATAAACACAAGTGGCCCAGCTCTGGGTTTATTTTTATTTTTTTAAGCCAAATGATGTGCTGCTTTACTTACATTAACAGCTCTTTGACAATTATTTGGAATCAACTTCTTCACTGTTAATGGCCACACCTGGCCATAAAACAACTTCTCGGGTAATTTTCTCAATTACTTTTGTCCCTTGAAAAAGAGGGGCTATATATATTTAGTGCTGCAATGCCTATACCATTGACCCAATTTGTATGTAAATATAATAAAATTAAAACAGACATTCAATCGCATTATTTCAAATACATTACGGTGTCTTATAGAGCCAACATTTTCAAATTTGTGTCTTTACCATATAGAATATCCTTAATTATTTGGACAAAGGAGCATGATATTAAAATATAATAACTAATCGCACAATATTAAAAATAATGAAGTTGCTCTATCATAAATCCCACATGTCTGTTGGGAGAAAAAAAAATAATAAAAAAGGTCTGCAATAGAAATGGATAAATAGAACTCCCCAGGAACACAAATCAAGGAACACTAGGACCCAGCAACATATGTCCTAAGTATCCATTAAAGATTCCCAATAAGGGAATTAGTGTAGCAAGCCAAGTCAACTGAAATAACTGTTGTGCATATAATATAGTGGATTACTGCAGAAATGGTCAAAAGTCTGCGTTTGAATTATTTTGGCTTTGTAAGTTTACTACCAATAGCCTCCAATAGATAGTTTTATTTTTTTATAAAGGCCAGTCCCAGTACTAGGGACGAAATACTTAGTAGAAAAAAATAGAACGGTCCAGGCCCTCCAGGATACAAAAAGGCAAATTTATTGAACACACTGCCATTCAATAAATTTGCCTTTTTGTGTCCTGGAGTGCCTGGACCGTTCTTCTATTTTTCTCTAGTAAGAGGTGCTCAGAAAGTCACCATACCTCTGCTGACTGAAACAGGTTATCATTACTGAATGTTTAAACCATTTATGTTCTCAAAACAAAATACACTCTCCTCAAATTTACCTACTTTACCTATAATTCTGCCTATTCCTGTGTTTTGTGAATTTTGGGAGGAAAGGATCAACGAGGAGTTTATTTTAGATGGTCCCAGAGGAATTATGGGAAACACAGAGAGGTTGCATTAAATACCCTGTCCCCTCCAATTGTAGAGAATGGATGAGAATTTAAAGGAAAATGGTAATTAGCAAAACATAATGATGTCAGTCTGCTTTGGTAGTATGTGCAGAACATAGTTATCAGAAGATCACCTCAATATCCTCCAATAGAAATGTGTGCATCTACAGCTCTCCACCTCCAAGATATGCTAATGGAATTGCACAATGTATGGTGTCCATCATTACAAGGCAGGTGGCTGTGTGAGCAACCACTCTAATTCATCCTCACTATGGCCATATTTAACTTTCTAGCGCAGAGAAGCTCAGCACACGGACACATCGCAAATGACAAACTTTATTATTATTATTTTTTTAATTGACACAGTTGTATCTATGCAACGCAACTAAAAACTACGTTTATGTTAACCTATGTATGAAAGGTCAGCTTTAAGAGGCAATGGCAGATTTAATCGGTTTTAAGCAGCACAGGTGGATCCTAACTTATGTGGGTGGAAGAAAATGAATATAATAAATGGTGAGCATTTTTGCATGCCTTTCATAAGCTCAAAGAGTATTTGGTGCAGAGTCTGCGTTTGTTACCAAACTTTTTTTTTTTTTATGCTGTGTACAATTGTCCTGTAAGTTCTATTAGAAAATAATTAATTATACATATCCCATACAGAAATACCATGTGCCCTTGAGCAATACATTCTCAGTATGTGTTTGGACTTGCAAAAGCTGCTTAAAGACTTTCTCTTACCTGCTCCTCAGCCTTAAAGTCCTGCAATGCTACACACTCACATCGGTCATCTTCTAAATTGTAACCAGTAGTTATCTAACCGAGAAGAGAGTGGGGAAAAAGATAATGAATAAAGATTTCAACTCATTAGATAGTATTTTACCTGAAGCAAGTTTGTCTCTTTAGATGGCATGAAACATTAATGAAAATCATTCAACGAACGGCTCTGCTCCACCTGACGTGACAGGTTTAGGAATGAATATTTTATAAAACCTATCGGGGATAACAAGTATCTCAAACTCTGTGCAGCTAAACTGTATCCTATTCAACACCTGCTTTCCTGTTGTCGTTGGATGCACAACACGTTTATCTGAAAAGTGAATAGTACAATGCTGGACAGAACAGAGGTGTCGGAAGGTGACCAAAAAAAATACAAAACAATAATATAAAATACATGGGGGAACGAACGGTTTATGCTGTAAACAGAAAATAATAAAAAACATGTTTTGCCAAATAGTTCATCTTAACATTAGTGGGGTTTTGCTTTTGCTTGCCAAAGGCCAGACTGAGCCAAAAAAAAAAAAAAAGTTTATTATATTTGCACATTAAGGTGATAGGTTGGTGGACAACTCAGTGTATCGGTTTTGGTGCTGGGAAGTGATGACTGCAGTGTCTCCATTTAAGTGGTTTGACAACTAGACCATTTCTGGTAGACTTCACTATACCCAAAGTCCACCTCCTCAGCCTATGACGTCCAATGAGAAAATGTAAACTTCCTTTCCACCCTCCACAGCCTATGGCGTCCAATGAGAAAATGTAAACTTCCTTTCCACCTCCACAGCCTATGGCGTCCAATGAGAAAATGTAAACTTCCTTTCCACCTCCACAGCCTATGGCGTCCAATGAGAAAATGTAAACTTCCTTTCCACCTCCACAGCCTATGGCGTCCAATGAGAAAATGTAAACTTCCTTTCCACCTCCACAGCCTATGGCGTCCAATGAGAAAATGTAAACTTCCTTTCCACCTCCACAGCCTATGGCGTCCAATGAGAAAATGTAAACTTCCTTTCCACCTCCACAGCCTATGGCGTCCAATGAGAAAATGTAAACTTCCTTTCCACCTCCACAGCCTATGGCGTCCAATGAGAAAATGTAAACTTCCTTTCCACCTCCACAGCATATGGCGTCCAATGAGAAAATGTAAACTTCCTTTCCACCTCCACAGCCTATGGCGTCCAATGAGAAAATGTAAACTTCCTTTCCACCTCCACAGCCTATGGCGTCCAATGAGAAAATGTAAACTTCCTTTCCACCTCCACAGCCTATGGTGTCCAATGAGAAAATGTAAACTTCCAAAATATTTGGAATTCGCTATAGATCCCAGTTATTCCTTTTTTGCTGCTCAGGATCCTTGTAACACACAGTAATGGAACCCAGAGACTCTTTGATTCATAAACACTACAAGCTGTGTCCCTTTAAAAATGTTTTAGTTAATAGTATTACATTTGTTAAAAATTGATTTTTTTTTTATCGATGCAAAATTTCCACGCAAAAAAAATAACATTTTATTGGCTCTATATTAACACCTTTAGAAGGTAAACAAAAGGAGGACAGCAGGTAGCCACATGAAAGGCACGCGATTATTTTAACATATTACACATTTGCCACATTGCACATCTGCTAAGAGTTAAATAAAAAATGTTCCAGGTACGGATTCTTGTTTGTTCAACCCTGACATGTTTGACAGACACGTAAATAAGCAGATGCTATTTGTGTCAAAGTGCCTGATTGGATTTTATCTAAAAAAAAATATTCCACTGTCCAAATTTAAGAAATAAAAGGCAATGCAATATATTTTACCACACCCTCCCAAGATAAACAAACAAACAAACAATTAAAACAACTGTCAAAAATGATATTCTAAATAATATTAGAATGCAAGCTCTTGTGAGGTGGGTCATCATGGCCCACCTACTATTCGTGGACTTCCGTTGATCCTAACTTACTCCTTGCACAGAGTGTAAGCTGCTCTGAGAGGGGTCCCGCTCACCTAGGGGCTTATGCACAAAACTGCTAAATGCAATTGGAAAGTTTAAGTCTAAGTAAGAGAGTTCTAGAATTTTCCAGTGTTCAGCAATATGTTGGAGATCTATGAATATACATATATTGATGGTGTTTTCATTATGCTCCCTCGGGTAACAGAGCTGCATAATGTAAGTTCATAATTATAGCATGTACATGGCAGATATGTAAATATAAATATATACATAAATAACAAATGTCCACATATCTCTGCTTTTCAAGCTCCTTTACGCAGAGCGGGCCGGTACACACTGAATGGTGTGAAATGCCAATTTAAAAGCCCATCAGGTGACCATGTGGTGTGATCAGGTGGGCGGCTTCATTCTCTTCCCTGCTGGCTGTGAGTAGCTAAATATATACATATTATACTTTATACTGAAAAGATTAAGAGGATAAAAATAGATTTTTTTTCACTTCTTCAAACGGAGGCCCTGGGGACGGCATGTGGTGTATGTGAAGGCCAGCCTTGCGACTTGTAATTAACACAAAGAAGTCACTCTGTAGCATGCGTTCCTTTGCAACTGAAAGACCGCTCCCTGTGCGTTAACCCTCTGAATGCCGCAGGGTTAAAATACCTTTTAACACTCAAAACAGGGTAAGCAGTGGTCAGTGTGGGCTTTTAGACTTTCCTGACTTTGACTTGAATATAAAGGTTGCGAAAATTTGCAGTCTTTCAGTTCTATCCATCAGCAGGAATGTGGACCACAACTCCCACAATGCATAGTCAGTCTTCAGCCGAGATCTTTGAAAGTTAACCCTATGCGTACAGACTACCTGAGGGGTACTATTTACATGGCAATACCGCTGATCCCTACATACTGATTGTACAATTGGAACAGCTATCAGGAAACATGTGGATGACCGTCTCACCTTCAGACAAATTACAAAACATAACCTCTGCATTGTGGTAACAAATTAGCCAGCAAATATATGGATTACATTATATTCTGATCTAAACTAAGCTTTAGAGGCAATTATATTATATGTACTCAGCCCAAGGCTCTTCTCAGATTTCTGTGCATGAGACTGCACCCACGTCATTATGAGATTCAGCCATGAATATTGTGAGATGATGTCATCTTACCTTTACATTAGCTAGAGATGGGGCTAGGACAATACAAACATGGGATGTTATTTATAAAATGCATTTGTATTAATCTTAAATAGGACAGTGGATTACTGGACCTCCCTCTGGGTAGAATGGTTAGCAGTGAGGAATGGAGGTGTGTACTGAACAGAGAGCACACAAGCACGCACGCACGCACACACACAAACAGCATACCCTCCAAGTTATAAAAACATTACACTTACCAAACCATTGGTATGATTGCACATATCCCAGAGTGGGATTAAAGCAAGGGTTACATGAGTTCCATCCTCAGTTGGAATCTGATTCTGTCTCGTCATGACTGAAGAAACTGCCCATCTGCAACCAGGAGGCAAAATATGAATAAAGAAAAAGTGACCAGAACAAAAACGAAACACTGCCGTAACTGGTTAAATGCCAGTACACTAAATTGTTACATGGTTTATATGGAAAACATTCTCTACAACTAAAAAATTGCCACCAGCCAATTTTTATACATTTGGTCAAAAGATGTTTGTGAATTCCTAGTTATAAACATCAGACTCTTTAACGCTTCAAGGCAACCTTTATTCATATTTGATCAAAATAAAATCAGACATGTTCTAAAGTACAAAAATGCATTGGCCATTGGTAACCTTTGGCACTCTAGTGGTTGTGGAATAAATTTCTCAAGGTGCTCAGCCAGCTAAAGATCTTGAAAAATGTGGCCCTTCACTCTCTCTCTTATAGAGGTCGACTAGTCATCACTAGTTGGAGATATTACATACAGGCTAATAACCACCATGGTGGTGTCCAATTTCTCTAGAACTTTCACATGCTTTTCCAAGCTACCATAAAAAAAAGACCAACCTGTAGTCATCAAAAGTAAAGGCATCCTTCAACGGCAGCTTGCTGGCATTTGGATGGGTCTGAGGTTTTGGAAAGGAAACAGAAGAGAAAGTGAGCGAGAGAGGGAACATCAAAAAGCAGTCAGCACAAATTTCATAATTTAGCTTCGGAACAGCTCCTAACGAGGGCCAAATAAAGCAGGAGGCGCCCAGAAAACGTTACGCTGGGATCATCGTGCTATTATGTTCTCATACATCACTGTCAACTTAATTTGTGGTGGCCAGCAGCTGCCATTAATCTGCGTCTTCATATTCTAAGACTGGAACCCACAGACAGCGCAAAGTTAACAATATAAGGTGGACAAAGGAGCAGCCATCATTTATACACGTCTGGAATTAATTAGGAAGCCAACCTTGCTTTTTCTAAACAAAATGGTTTCCTTGTACACTTTTCACGGACTGTAAATTTTTCTCTCCCCCCCCCTCCCCCACCATGCTTTAGTAAACGATTGGTTGGGATCATTAAGATTGCCCCTGGCATTTTGCAGGTGCTGCGTTAGCCGTTCTAATTTGGCATATTCTCTCTGGGTCTTCAACTTTACAGATAATTTGGCAGAATGTAAAAAAAAAAAAAAAAAAAAATGTATTTTGTTAGTAATTAGTTGATTGGTCAGAGAGTTGTGAGCTTTAAAAAAAAATGGTCAAATCATATATTTTTTGAGAGTAGCACTAAAAGAGGAACTGTTACATATAAGATTGGTAAAAGTATTTTTGAATTTAGCACACAAGGATGATCTTCCTTTTATTGTATGTATTTAGCAAAATGGCTATTACATCTTATACATACATACATACATACATTATATATATATATATATATATATATATATATATATATATATATATATATATATATATATATATATATACACACACATACACACATTAAAATTAATAAAACTACACCATGATGTCAGAAATATCTTGTGAAACGACACAAAGTGCGTTTAATGCAAACAGGTTTCATTTTTTACAAGTTTGACAGTGCGGGATCCCTTGATTTCCACAGATCGATGCAAGACATTTTGAGAGGAGTGACTATTAAGGACAAACTGGGGGATAAATGATGCAAAGGCTCAAAATACGAGCATGACATTGCAACTGATACAATTTATGTTTTCCCCCAGAAGAGGATTATAGGGAAAATACATTTGCATGACATGCCTGCATAAATGCCTTTCCAGAAGGCACCTAAGATATCAGAATGTAACTTTATTATTAAACCGGACAGCTATTCTTTAACCCTTTTGGCAAGACATGTCGGCAAGGACTGCTATTCTTCACTGCTCTAGTTCTTGAGGACCATCTTTTCACTGATGATCACTGGTGACGCAGTCCACTCCAGCTGGAGTACCAAAGGGCAACAATAACTTGGTTTGTTTTAATGTTGATTTGATAAAGGCTATTTGGGAACTTTAAACAATGTCTTTTCATTCATGTATTTTTGCACAATGTAATCTAGCAATCCCGTCACGCTTTACACAATAAATAAAGAAATAAATAGATCTGGTGGATGTGCTGGGAAGCTCCCACCGCAGTTAATGAAGCCCTGTGCAGCACGGAGCTTCACTCGGGTGCATTAGCATGTAGAGAGCAAGCAATTCATCATCGCTCTCGTAATGTACTCCCTGGCACTGTCTGCAGGACAGTAGGGGATGAGGTAAAAGTGGCTCAAACTCTAAATCAATTAGAAAACAAAAGCTCAAGCTCGGTGCACAATCTGAGGAAAATTATACACGGACATGCTGCCAATTGGGTGGGAGACCCCCAGCCCCCACTCCAACACTCATCCCATAACCATTTCCTTCCCATGCTGTGAAAACAGAAAAAGGATGGAGATTCACAGATAGGACTGGAGGATACGTTTCACCAGGAGTAGACCCCCAGTTGTTGTAACACCATCACGATGTTCTGAATTCATGCCTTATGCTTTATAATTAAAGGATCAGAACAGGACTGACATATGTGGCAGGATATACATTTTGTTTTCAATGATATACATTGGCTGCTGTTTTTTGTATGGGTTCACTAGAGACAAGAGACAGAGAGACCCATCACCCCCGCCCCCCTCGTTGGTAGCAGTTTCACTCAGCGTTCAAATAATAAAAGGATTGAGTAGGCTTTATTTAACCCGTGAGTTTATTTAAACATAGGTATTATAATCTGTTTTTATTATTGGGGATCAAGGGACAACGATTAAAAAAATAAAAAAATAAGAAAGAGTGCTAAAGTGAAAAAGACAAGGTAAGCAAGACTAGGCAAAAGAGAGAGAGATCGAGAGAGAGAAAGCTAAACGAAGAAATAAAAGATTGAACAGAGGCTAGGTGGGCTAAAAAGATACAGCATCATCTTAAGAGACTTGTCTATTAATTGGGAGCTTATAATCAGCATTTAGAACAACTTGTATATGCACCATGTACCGGTACTTTTACTCAACAGATCATACTCCGGTTTTATAGGCAATTGTCGGACAATGAAGGTAAGGTTAAAGCAATCTCTAGAGAGAATTTAACCCTTGCTGATCTACCAGGACTGCATTACTCCACGAACCCCTCGAGTCTCATAAATCCATCAAAAGGAGCCTAATGGTGCCAGAGCTTATCGGGTACTTTATTTTACAAAAGGTCTTGACAATTCATTGAATGTCTTTAAATTGACTAAATTAGCCCCGTTAAATTAAGTACTGCTAAATGTACCCCCTCCTTTAAAAGTTGAAATTGGTCATCTAAGGTAAGTGGCTAATGCTGCTTTAAACACAGGCAGTAAAAAGAAAAATGAGCCATAAATCACTCTCAAAAACCATAAAAAATAAATAAATACAATTCCAGACTTTTCAAGTTTAGCACTAAAACCCTCCTCCGTGCCATAATCATGACCGATAAATCTGTCAAGGAGCAATAAGGAGCATTATAGATCATGCATTTAGATACGATCTAAAACATCTGCAATTATATTACTTAAATATCTGTAAGGTTTGGAAACTAAAATTTGACATGGCTACATTTTCAAAACGGTCCAAGGCAGCGTGAGCATCTCTGGAAATTTAGTCCACAAAATTCTGGGGTGCCAAAGTTAACCAACACAACGCAGTTATATACATTACATTATTATCTTGCTCACACACGCACTGTGTTTGGAAAGCATAGAAGCAAAGGAAGAAGAAATGGAAAAAAAAACCACCAAAATAATTATTTGTTGGAGTCTAGTGCCCTCTAGTGGCATAACATGCTAAGGGCGATACTGTACTCAAAATAACAGTGATCATTGCTTACTGCTGGGGGAGTAAAGACACTTTATAAATAATAAATGTCAAGAAATAAAATAATCAAAACCGCTCTGATTACATATGCATCTTTATATACAGGAGGTCAGCATGGGTGCCTTATAGGGGATGTAATGATACTCCCGGGTGAAGATCATCTTTTCAATTAAAATCACATCTTGGTTAACCAGTTAAGTGCCAGAGATCTGCATAGCATTTCAAAGCAATGATCCAGAGGGTTCTATTCAATCAGAAAGAAATATATGGGGCTCCTAGAAAGGGGGACAGCACTGAGGGGTAATAAACAGAGCACTAACATTTTTTATTGTTGGAATCTAAGCATTTATTTTATAAAGAATTGAACAAACTAATTATTGGCCAAAGGCAACCTTGGCTACCAGCAGTCAAACTCCTCACACTAACAAAATTCACCTATTGGGGTCCGGGAACCCACACATAGGGGATAGAGAACTTGCACAGGGTGGGAGAAATATAAGCAAACAATGTCTAATAAAATAATAAATAATGAAACAGCCCAGTCCAAAAACAAGTAAAATAATCTGCAAGAGCTTGCTTGTTTGTTTGCTTTTGCACAGAACCATTTCAGTTCTTGTCTTTATATAGACATGTAATGCTCATGTTTCTTTCCTATATGGGTGTAAACTTAGTAGAGGCCAACATGTGTTTTAAAATGCCAATTAAGATTATTTAACGGGTATGACAAAATAGTTCATCCACTGGTAATATGAACTGATATACAAATAGGTCAGAGACAGAGAGAGACACACAGACACACACACACACAAACAATAAAGCCAAACAAAAATTCTGTTACCTTACACAGTATGTACCAAACCTAACAGAGATGTGGAGGATTTTTATTATATTATTCCCCTCCCCAATCCCACCCATTTACCTTGACAAGCTGTCATATATTAATTGTCTCTACATATTTTAGGTTCTAAAAATATTACAACCTTTAAAAACAAAATAAAAAAGGCAAACGTGCTACTAAGATTAATGCAGAGTTCATATTTTGTAATTCCGCTAAACCAGATTTCAACAGTCAATTGTGTTAACCTTTCCCCTGCCAGATGGGCGAAGCAGTGCTCTGCAAAACATACCGGCAGGCAGAGGGTTAATGGGGATTTTATATAGTTTGTTGTTTTATTACTTGTGCTGTCGCCAGATGCACTTAAGTAACATCTCAAGACTGGGTTGGGGAACCGCAGCTGAAAGGTTTATGAGACGATAAATCCATTTTTTATTAAATGAGAGCACCTCTACAACATTGGAAAGTAATTTGGTAAACATTGGTAGTCTGCTGCACAAAGAGACTGGCTCCCCCGCTTCTCCTTAATCGGTATATTAAATGGATGTGTTTACATGTTGTAAACAGGAAGAGACACGATTCAAGGAGCTGCACTAGAAGGGCAAAGGATCTTAGACAGAAAGCTGTGATGCAAGTATCTCCCTACCTAAAGGGAGGTGGGCCGCACTGCAGTTTTCCTGCAGGCAGTGCGAAGGACAATTTGCTGTTCACCCGCTTAAAGGGAAAATACCCTCTCTTAGATACATATGGCACAATATATTGACTTCTGTCAGTGCTTTTGGTAATAGACAGTCTAAATAAATACAAATATGGTGGATCTTGTAGGCAGCCATCTTGTTTTTACAATAACATTAAAGTTATGGAAGTAGGTGGGGACAGACAGGGAAAGAGAGAAGCTACATGCAAATGGACGGGGTTTACCAGCAAACAGGAATTGATTGGTTGTAAATGGTCAAGGCATAGGTAGATCAAAAGTTTTCGATAAATAATCAGAACAAGAAATCATTAAGACTAACCGTTATTAATCATTTAATGAGTGTTAAAATAAATACAACATTATCTACAATACCTAATCTGCTAACATTGAAATGAAATTTAATTTTGGTTACAAAATCCACAAACACTCTCAATAGCAGCGTCCTATAAGAACGGATATATCTTTATCTCTCTTTAGAGAGAGAAAGAGAGAGAGAGAGGGAGGTGCGCTCTGCGGAATATGTTGGAACTATATAAATACAGATAATAATAATGGTATATATATATATATATATATATCAAAAAGGAAAGAGATGCACTCTCAGGTCAGATCTTGAGGAAGACCTGAAGCGGTCGAAACGTCGATCAGATATATGTTACCTGTTATTAAATAATATCGAGTTTTTTTTTCTACAAAAACCTGAGAGTGCATCTCTTTCCTTTTTGCTTTACATATCCAGCGTGGGATTGCACCAAGGCAGTCTTTTATTGATTCATTGAAAGGGTGAGTGCCACTATATATATATATATATATATATACATATATATATATATATATATATATATATATATATATACACATATATATATATATATATATATATATATATATATATATATATATATATATATATATACACACACACATATATACATATATATATACACATACATATATACACACACACACACACACACACACACACACACATATATATATATATATATACACACACATACATACACACACACACACACACATATATACACTCTGTTAAATGCAACATGAGATAAAGGATAGTTTTGTGCTTTATTAACAAAATAATCTCAATGAAGTGCAGTGGTCCTTGAGGTTCAACTCTGCAATTTTAAAAAAAAAATTTTTTAGAAATGGCAATGTTTACAAGGTTTTGTAAAACTTGGTCACGTGATGCAGAAGCCCATAGTAAAGTAGAGAATACTTTTTTTTTCTCTAAACAGGTGGGAGGGGGAGAAACTTGCATATAGGGCACTATAGCATTGGGGGGTGGGGGGGGGAGAAGGGGTTTATTTAATTAGTATTATATCTAATCAATAAAAAAAACAAATATATATATATCTATCTCCTGATCACATGTCAATAGATTCACATAGCAATGTGGCACTGCAGCAAGTATTAAATACTGTTGAAGAAGCCACATTGTGTGAATTTGTGATGTGTTATTGTGACATTAATTCACAGTCTTGGTACTTCTAATTGACAGATATTTAATAACCCCTGAGCACACAATGTTGCTTTGCTCAGCAACTTAATGTTGCAGCCTGTCAATACTACAATAGTTTATTACTTTGGAATAATACAATCTTAGAAATTTTAGAACCTTTATCTCCAACACATTATGCTGAAAAAAAATACTGTTATATAAAAAAGAGCAGCATCAAAATTTGCATTTTTCATAAACAAAGTTCATTAAAACGTGCTGAACTTTAAGCCCCCCAAAAGATCACACAAAATATATAATACATTGACTCTCACATCACTGGGTGGTAAAATTGGGTTCTCTACCAGAGGCCTGGGAGCCCATGTGTCCTGCACAATACATTAGCTGTTCCTAGAAACTGCATTCTCCTTGGCAGAGATCTTAGATGTCCCACCAACTATTCCTGGACACAAAGGTAGAACCAAGACCTGTTTGACTACTACTGCAACAGCAGGTGAAAGAAGCTATATGAAACGTATGTGGGAACTATGAATGAATAAGCAACCATCAATGACACCAAAACAGCTAGTTACACAACATTTGAACATTTTTAGGAGGAAACTAATGTCACAATTGGAATTACATGAACTTCGCAAATAAATAAGAAATGAGGTGGAAGAAACTCATATCCACACCTATACCTGCGAAGCATTGCCTGAAGATGGCATTACAGAACCAACTTTCTTATATGCCAAAATATAATCAGATGGCATGGCATACAAGAGAGATTATCAATGAAAAGCTTTGACCACCAGATCTTATGTTAGTAGTGACTAATGAGGTATTATATACAATCCCAACCAACACCACCACCACAGAGGTTAACACACACATATAATATAGCACAGCAATTGTGGTCCTCCAATAGCTTGACTACATGGTCAGGCTGAAAGATAAACAACACTGCTCACCATGGAAACAGACTGAAAGCCAATATAAAGTCAATACGCAAGGAAGTTAGTAAACTGGATCTGCTTTCACAGAGGAGGAAAGATCAAGGATGGATCCTGGCTACAGAGGAAATACATGGGTATGCTAATAGCAGATGTTCTGGAAACAGCTAGGCAAAGGTTCACAGCACTGTCACCAGATAAGCAGAGACTAATAGAATAAATGTATTGTTTACCAAAGAACCATCCAAGGTGTACACACAACTGTAATTTAACAATGAATAAACCCTGGAACCACCCAGAACCAAGACTCAGCTGTACTGGAAGAATCTTTGGGAGAGCAAAGCATCACATAGTATCAAGGCCTGGTGGCCACTAGATCAGAAAGGAGATCACTGAATGCTTCCATATAAAGAACCAGTCAACATCGCACTAGGAGATATACAACCAGGCATGATCCACATGGATAAAAAAATTTTTTTTAAAAGAACAATGCTGCATGAACGCCTTGCAGCACAAATGAACCAGCTACTAGTAAAAGGCTTCCACCCTGGCTTACGAACATAAGTCAGAACAATACTAGTCGTGAAGGACCCTCACAAGGGAACACCACCATCCAACTACTAAACAATTACCTGTCTCTCAACAACATGGAAGGTCCTGTCAAGCATCATAGCCTCAAAGATCGATGGGCATATGACATGTAAGTCAATACTGGAGAAAGAAAATCAGGAGGAGATTGGAAACACCAGCTGCTGGTAAGCCAAGCAGTCACAAGGATTCCAAGACCAGACAGACCAATCTGTGCACAGCCTGGAGTGACTACAAGAAAGCCTATGACAACTCCACACACATGGATACTAGAATGCTTGGTTTATACAAGACAATAAGAGCCTTCATCAAAAACTCTGTGGGCAAGTGGAGAACAACTCTAGAAAACACTTCCAGGAAAGTTATACAACTGAACATCAAATGTGGCATATACCAAAGTAATGCTCTATTCCCAATGCATTTCTGCATAGGCCTCAACCACCTCAGCAATATCATCATGAATAGTGGATATGGAATCAAGAGTGGAGCTACTACCATCCACTTCCTCTGCATAGAGGATATCAAGCGGTAGGCAAAGAATTAGAAAAAAAAAAAAAAAATCGATTCACTGATCCACATGACTAAGCTATACAGCAAGGATATTGAATTGTTCTTCGGACTAGATGAGCCTGGGCAGATGATAGCAAAGGGAGGGAAGATGGTCAAAATAACAAATATGAGTTGTAGAGATAATTTACATGTACTTTGGAATACAACAAACTCAACGGCAATCATGAGTAAGAGGCAAGGAGGACTGCAACATTAGACTGCAACCTTCAGAGAGTTAAACCGGTCCTGAAGTCCCAGCTCAATGACAAGAACAAGATCCACAACATCAATACATACCCATCACCAGGTAGCGATCTGGATAAATAACCAGGCCAAGAGAAAAGCTGGACATCATGCATATCAACAGCAGGAAATAGCTAACTATGAATGGAGGAACCCACCTGAAATCCAGCACATCAGACACTATTCATCAACGATTGCCATGAGAATGATTGAGACAACAGAAAAAGAATGTAGAAAAGGAGGAGATTCCATGACAAGACAAACCTCTTCAAGGGATGCACCACCAGGAGATAGTGGAGGATACTCATATTACGAAATTCTACGAGTGGTTGGAAAAAGCAGGAGTGGCTTATTACCTGTTGGATTTCTGGCATTGTTACCATGCCTATTAGTTTGGTTAGTGGCCAGGACTGTAAAGGTACCCAGTGTGTTTTTAGTTATGAGTTTAACCATTAAAGGTCTATAGAAAATAAGCCTATACACTGGAATATTGCAGACATCCTGAGATGTCTTCCTACAGCTCTTGTTTCTGTGTTAGAAAGGAAACTCGAAACTAATCTATTTAAAAGTTAGGAACTATAATAAAGTTTCCAGTTACCTATTCCTTTCAATACTCATGTGATTTATCTTACTTAATATTGTTTGTTACCTTAGGTACATGGGGTCTGCATGTTCTTCATACAATAATAAACATACAAAAGAGTAAAAAAAGTCAATTGAAAATAAAAAAAAGTACTAAAAAAGCCCCTTAGCTGCTTCTTACAGAGTGAATAATGGATGAATTCTGCTTAATCGTGCAGATAATAAAACAATGGGTCAAAGTAGCATTTAAAGCGGACTGTTTGGGGGCTTGGAAAGAACACAGAGAAATACTACCCCATCTTTGTGTTTGGAGATTGTCCACTCAATTAACACCTTGATAAGCAGAGACAAGGTGAGAAGCATATCATTACAAGCACTCCATCAATGTTTAGATCTGGCTCCAGTAGAGTAAAATGATAAATGAAACAGCCTATGAAGTGTTGTTTATTCCCCTGGCTGCACACGTGGATTGACTGGATGTTTGAAGACAGGACTATCATTTGGAAGAAGTATGAGGAGGTGACATGATTGAATACCATGCAAATGGTACACACTGTTACCGACATCAGTTATCTGTTTTCAGGGCTTGGCAGCCATTTAACAAGTTTCAGTAAAGCTTCTGATAACTTCTACAACTTGTAAGAGTTGGACAATTTAAAGAGGCCCTAAGACCTTTTTTCTTTATAGATCGGGCACAGAAACACAGCCTAAGGCGGGTAGAGAAGGGAACAATCTTACAAGTCCAATGGTCCTCAAAGTGTCACTCCAAGCACCATAACGGTATAGTGCCCTAGTCCCTTTTTAGATTAGAGCCCCGGTCCCCAACTGCAATACAATTAGTTTGAAAAATTTATTTTTTTTCCACTCTCTCAGCGACGGTCCAATTCAATGATGCTCATAAAAGAGGATTAGGACCGTGGTACGCATGCAACGCTTTTTTATGAGCCGCACTGGGTTACATGACTGAGTTTCACTCGGTTGTTGTCAGGAAGAAGAGTGTTTAACCCTGTAATGTAAACATTGCAGTTTCTACAAAGCTGATTTTTTTTTTAACATTGCAGTGTTAAAACTACGGGGTCAAAGCACCCAGACCACTTTGGCACTCAAGATGTTGCCTGCATTGTGGCTGTAAGAGCATTGTGGCAGATGTAGTCCACAGCATCTGGAGTGTCAAAGGTTGCCTATCCTCCCTCTTATAATATTGTAAATCGCTATGGAATCTGTTGGCACTATATAAATGGCAATAATAATAATAATAATAATCTCTGTCCTGGATATCTAAAGATATTGCAGTGTTTTACTGCCCAGAATCACAGTTGACATAACGGTGCAGTCTGAAACCCATTTTTGTTGTACTTGATCTATAGTGCTATATAACTTTGTGCACACTTCTGCACCTGGACTAATGCAACAATACACAATACCCAACCACAAACACAGAGGCTCCAAAACATTTGGAAAACACATCGCTGTGAGCTTGACAGCTATGCCTGGGAAATTATTAAAAAGGGTTACTCTAAGCACCATGACCACTTCAGTGTTTGTAAGTGGTTATGGTGCTTGGAGAGGAAGAGAGATATTTAATGATGGTGCCAGAGGTGTAACTCCAGCAATATTTTTTGGCTGGCTACAGAGGGTCTTTCATTGGCTGAGAGTGCTCAGCAATGAATGTCGGGTGGGATCATCTACTACAGAAGCGGGATGCACATTACCAAGCAGGACTGGAGTGGTTATTGCCCCAGTTGTGCCCTCGCACCTTTCCAGGGGTAAGTAGTCAAAGGACTATGGGCACTGGTTTCCACCTCTCCCAGAGCTGGAACTTCCTGCAAGGAGCTTGTGATAGCCACATGAAGGTAAGCCAGGCTATGCAGCACCGGCTAGTAGTTTGAGAGTGTCAGTTGTCACCATCACTGAACGGCTCATGAAACAACAAGGGGTTTATTCACTAAACATTGAATTATAATCCCAACTAGACCAGAACGTTTCCAACTCAACTATTTTGCTTTAAGTGTTTTTCAGTAAAGTACTGTTCACGGTTTAGTGAATAAGGCGTCAAACAAAGCTAGGACACACTTCAGTGAAGAAAAAGGAAGTAAGCTACAGACATGCAAAACCACATACAATATGTATAGTATTTTTTGTTTAGTTTTTTTTTTATAAGAAGAAATTAAAAATGAATAACATTAAAAAAAATGTCGGTCAATCTCATATCGATCAAAATATCATAAGACAAAAAATAAGAATTCTCCTAGTAGTCTAAAGTAGTACTGTCAAACTTGGACAGGGCATGGTGAGCGCACGACCCACTTGCGTACACAGGGGTGTCATCACGAGGTTAATCTTTAAGAGTGATGTATAGATACGTTTTCCTGGGCTGTAGCATGAGGTTAATTAATGATTGTAGAACAACACATCCAGGAAGCAGTCAGGTAGAACACAGTTATATTTCCTAATCAGTCAATTTCTAAACCAATTTACCTAATTTTACAAATCATTATTTACATGCATCATTGATAACAAAAAAGTGTAATATTTTATAGTATGAGAATAACTAGGTCAGAAATGGTTAACCCCTGAAGGCAGCGGTGACTATACTGAGATGCCAATAATTCTAAAAATAATAATAATAATAATAATAATAATAATAATAGTTAACCTGATCACTTTGTATGCAAAGGCTTGTTGAGCTTTGTGAGTAATGTATCATCTGTAATTCCAAAGTTAGCCCTAATGGACATAAGGTTTAATTATTTGATCGCCATTGATTAATTACCACTGCCGTGCTTAAATTGTCTTGGGGTGAGTTTAAGAGTCGCTGTGTGCAATTCCTTTTAGAGCTGTGTCTCACACCTGCTTTTCCTCATCATGTTGGGCTGCAGCCTCCTTGCTTGGAACGGCAGCTGGGAAACATAAAATCAGTGCTGTCCGTGCAGTTCCCAAACAGCAGAGGTTTTGCTTAGTCCGGTCCCAGCAGATTACAGCCATTTAAGGGCAAGCCACAGAGACACAGAACAGGCCCAGCTGGAAATGTTTACACAAGCACAGCCTCGGGAGCAGGACGGTCTAACTCCTTTAGCCAAACAGGTCTTCGTCAGTTAAAATTGTTTTGTTACAAGGCACACGCAACCGGGAGGTCAAAACAGTTAGTTTTGTAATAAAAAAAAAAAAAAGGAAAATAAAGTAATAAAGTGGGATTACTCTGAAGGACATCTATACATTGTCTACATCATATTATATGCAGTTTAAATAAACATAGAATGCATTCATTTGGAGAATAAACAGGCTGTATTCAGATATGATCCCTTAAAGGACCACTAAAAGGCACCCAGACCATTTCCTCTCAATGAACTGGTCTGGGTGCACTTGCCCCGTATTTTTAACCCTGCAGTGGAAAACAATGCAGTTCTGCAGAAATACGATGTTTATATTGCAGGGTTAAACAAACCTCAAGTGGTGGTCTTGCAGTCAGCCTCTAGAAATGCTTCCGCTACTAAAACGGAGTGAAACTTGGTCACATGATTAAATAACTCTCTTAGAGAGGATTTCATTGGCCAATGTTTCCCTATGTGAAATAAAGCTTGATGAGCTTAGCCAAGGAGGCAGAGCAGCAGGATGGAGACCAGCATTGGGAGGGCTGGAAGGTACGTAAAATTTACCTTTCCAACGCTCATAGGCGTGAAGGAGGGACCTAAACAGGGATATTGAGACTACAGAGTTAGAAGTACATGTTTGTATTGTGAACACTAGTGTTCTGTGATGAACTCGATCCTAAAAGACTGTGATCCACTAAGCTCCTACCTCCCTGCCCTGTTCTCTAATCCTCAAGATATTCCCTGAGAGCTGGAGTGTCCATGCACTATCAGTGGACCAACCTTAACTCACTCTGGAAGTCCAGCAGCTTACCCCTGGTTTTCCCGGTCATTAGGTGTCCTCCCTTTCTCCCCTTTCCTCAAGACCCAGAATGGCGCTTTTTGGAGGGAAGCTTCTATCCCAAGGCTTTAACAATCGCTCCCTGGAATCACCAGGGAGCTCCGATTTTTCAAGGAGATATCCTGCCCAGTAAATTACCGAGGATTGACCCTGCGTGGAACGCTTTTCGGACAAGGTTGTTGTAGCGGTCGGGTGAAACTTTGACTGTGTGGTGTTTGGACAATTCTTCATGGATACAAGTGCTATTTTCATATAAAACATGTGAGGATACATTAATGGTTAATGGATGCTTTGGGGGGTATTTCTGTGTTGCACTCTGTTTCCGGGAGATAATTAGTTGAATGAGTATCAACTCAATTTTCTCCCAGACACAGAGACGCCTGGGCGGACTTAGGTGTTTCTGAATAAAGACCCAATGCTGGGGGACTGTGTATAAATGTGTGTACTTCTGGCTAAATAAATCAGTTTTTGTACCCTACATCAAGTCTCAAATAATGTTAAGGTATGCAGGAGCTATAATCACGGCTTCACTAAGGGACCTGGGAGAGTCTACAACGAAGATACCTCTCTGGGTACAGGCACTCAGTTACATGTCCCTTTAACAGTTCATACTGATAAGAGAATAAGCCCCAATGGATATTTTTTAAAGGTAAATTCAAAACACCATGACAACCTTGAGGTTCCTTGCATAAGTTAAAGGAACACTATAGCATTATGAATAGAAATGTGTATTCCTAAAAGTGTCCTAGTCAACATTTAGATGGCCCCCTGCCCTGTCCCTTCAAGGGTTAAAGAGGTAGTTTACTTAACATTCATCCTATTACACTCTATTCTCTTCATGACTGAGATCATAAATCTTGAAAGAAAAGGAAAAAAAACCAAAAAAACACAACAAAACGGTTTGGCTACTTTCTTTGAGAAAGTGCCAGGGGATACTTGGGACCATAACTATGAAAGTAAGTTGTCAACATACAAGGTCAAAACTGTACAGTCCACTGGGGGATTCCGGAGACCTGGGGACAGATGGGGTGGCGAAGGGAAACCAAGATGCCACCCGGAAATTTACGCTGGAAAAAAAAGGTGCAGGCTGAAGGAGCACTAGGCCAGATACAACATATTCTTCTCCCTGATCCCCTATAGTGCTTCTTCTGGCCTGGCTCGCCTCCTGCCTGTCTGGCCCCTCCAGCCTGTAAGCCTACTGCATTGCATTCAGCCCGGGGGGGAAAGGAAGTGCAAGATGAATGACTTGCCGCCACTTACAAAAAATTTTAAAAAAAACTTTAATTTAAATTTACCCCTGGACTGGATGGAGAGAGCCGTGGACTGGTCTATGGCTCTGCAACATATGGTATCCGCAACATATGTGTTCCAGTTATGTATCATAAAATTGATTACCGGTGCTGGTGCACTGGCGTTCTCTCCCTTCCTTTCGCCACTAGCTAACGACATGATGAGTGAGAAAGAGCGGGACATTTCCCCAAGATCTGTGCTCATTTTCATGCTAAGCTGGGACAATTGATTGATTTCTCACTGTCTATGTCCAAGGAGGATAGATAGATAGATCTGATTAGCATGTTGACAAAACTTAGTAGATGGCATTTGGAAGTACCATCATGAAAGTCATATTCAATGTCTACTTCCACAGATAAACTCTGCACTTTGCATTCTAGCTACTGTCATTCTTTATAGAATTTGAACACAACACAAGCAGAATAATGTGTCTGACAAATCACCCCATCTTACTTGAATGACTTTATAGAAATAGGCATACTGCCGAGCCGTATTCTTATACTGGCTGAAGACATCGAGTATGGCTTGTGTGGACTGGAGATACTGGATTTCATCCTCCTCAAAATACAGGGGGGTGTCGTACTCGCTGGGGAGAGTTTTGATGTATGGAAGCCAGAAGGAGTTGGGGTCTGCTCTTTCACACAGCAGGTGGAATGCCAGAGTGATATTGCCCATGGCTTGTAAAATCCGGTCTTGTGAGTGAAGGGAGCCTAAAAGTACATGCAAAATTAATATTATGCAAAACTGAAGTTACCGCTACACATTTTCCTGGTGAAATTGCCTATATATGGACAGATTAGATTTTATTCCATATAAGAACCAATTAAAGGAACACTCCAGACACTTAAAGCACTTCAACATGCTGAAGAACGTTACATATCTGGAATCTGTCATATTTGTGACCGATTATAAAAGACAATTTCAATAGAAATCTGCACTTTTAGAATTAGGGAAAGAAACAAGGATAGAGACAGCCAGGGAGGGTTTCTTCCACTTCTGTTAGCTCCACTAAGCTAACAGAAGTGGAAGAAACTGTACTCAAAGCTTCAACATAGAGAATTCTCAATAAGAAGCCACTAACAGGTGTATTCCCCGGCACAGATGAAAAGTATGTCTAAAAAAGAGGGGAGGGCTTACAAAAACAACAGCAGAACTGCAGTTTTGCAAGCTGTTTCTTCACATACTCTCCTCCCCCCCCCCCAAAAAAAACCAAAACATTTTTAATTTGGGGGTATATCTACTAAAAAGTGTTTAACTAGAAAAAACATTTTTCCATTAAGCAAATAATGTGTTATAGTACCATATTACCGTACTCCTTAATGTATGGCCATATTTTTCTAGTAGCCTCTTTTAGCCTTTTCATTAAAAAATTTTTCCAGCCAAACAAACAAAAGGTTGCATACACAATTAACAAATTCTCCTTTAGTATAGCCACAGGCACTCACCCAGCACTGAGTTCTTAGCTGATTCCACAGTCATTAACAACTTTCTAGGAACCCAAAGAAACAACTCTTCTGCCTGCAAAAAGCAAAAAAAAAAAAAAAAAAACAACAAAAACAGGTTAAGTTTATGCCACATAAAGGTACATTCTAAGCACTAGAACCATTACATCTCACTGAATTAGTTATAGTAGCTGGGGTCCCCAGATGCTGTCCAGTGTAAACCATTTTTGAGCAGTTTAACATCACGCAGGCCGCTCTCGAAAGACTTACAGACAGAGGAGCTGTTGGGAAGGGAAGCTGGAGTGTGCTGCGGGCCCCCACTACAGTGAACAGCACCTGGCCACTGGACCACCAGGGAATGCGATCTCCCCCATCCCTGGCCACAGTTAAGAAGCAGGGAGGGGGAATAAAATGTTTAACAGGTGTGTAAAAAATAAATAAATAAATAAATAATAATAAAAAAAAGTTCTCTCCCCTTTCCCCACTTACTGCAGCTCCTATTTTACATCCACTACACAAACAATATCTCCACTACGCAAACACTATGCATTTATTATATACACACACACTGCATTCACTATACACACCACATACACTACACGAACACTGCATTCACTATACACACTATATCCCCTACACAAGCACACACACTGCATTCACTATGCAAATTATCTCCACTACACAAACATACACACATAGCATTCACTATGCACAAACACACACTGCATTCACTATACACACACACACACATACATATATCTATCTATCTCCACTAAATAAACACACACTACATCCACTACACAAACAGATACAACTGCATTCACTATACACACTATCTCAACTACACAAACACACTCTGCATTCATTCTATACACACTACATGCCTACGCAAACACACAATGCATCGCGAAACAAACACATTGCATTCAATATACACCGCTACAAACTATACACAAACACACTGTATACCTGTGGGCGGATTCGGGGGTGGGCCCCAGGGGTCATGTCTTGAGCTGTGTCAGGCTCTGCATGAGGACATCCAGCATCAGATTTTTCCCCATAGGAAAGCATTGATTCAATACTTTTCTATGGGGAGGTCTAATGCGCGCACGGCACTTGCCGCACATGCGCATTAGCGCCTGCTCATCACTGGATGTCGGAGGGGTGCGGAGCATCGGCGCTGGGATAAGGTAAGTAAATAAAGGGTTTTTACGACAACATAATACGGTCTACAAAACCACAGCCTTTACATTAGAAGTCTTTATATACCTTTATTTCTCGGGTAGCTTTCAAACCGAAGCCTTCATCTGGAAACTCTGCTAATTCAAAGCCATCGGTCGATGCGCCATTCTCAGAGGCCCATTCTAATAGTTCAGAAAAATAATCTTCCCTTTTCCCATCAAATATAACAGATAAACCTAAAAATGAAATTTTAAAACATTATTTTAAATAATTTCTTCCTTAGTATTAGCAACAGTATAATTCTAGCAGAGATCACAATACTAGCAGATTCACACCGCCAAACACATTGAATCCAGTGCTTGCATAGCTATTTGCTGCTCACAGGGCCAAGAACTGCCCACCTTGCAGCCCCCTGCTGGATCACGCTATTACGGCATTCCACTTGTGATATACATTACACTGCATGCATCCCACCGCCACAAATTTGTGAATACCACCTATTTAGCATACTGGCACACTGAACACAAGATGGATACCTGAAGTGGGCAAAAGCTTCCCCCAATAGCAACCTGTGCTATGTTACTAGCTTTTTTTTAAAAAATTCTTTATTTTTCTTGTGCATAGTAAAGAACATACAGTGAATCTTGCAGCGCTACAACAGCAACTGCAGGCTTGTCATGAACATTGATTTGTTATGGCATGTGATTGGCTAGCACAATTTTATAGTTTCATAACATGAGAAACAAACAATTACAAACTGTTCTATAACGTAAAGGGCTAAGCATTAGCAGGAGCATTTGCGGATTTCGTATACGAACTGTAGGGTAAGGACCATTAGTTACATGCTTAAGTTTTACACCTCGAATAGTGAAGTGTTAGTCTGTTGCTATTAGGGATTCAACTAATTATCCCAGAGTAGGCAGCCAGGAGGACCTGCTTAATTTGATATGACCCCAACATATTAGCACCTCTCGCTGTTACAGCATTCCTAGGTACTAGCTACTCATACATTTCGCCTTGCTCTTAGGTTAACTTAATGGAAGGCTGAGGTCAAGCATTACCATGAATACGTGGGTTCAACATGCATTAGACACCATAAGTATATATAGCAAGCCGAGCAGAGGGAAGAAAGAAAAATAAGTAAATGGCGTAATAGAAAAACAGAAAAATAGGTCATATAAAAGAGGGTCCGATTTAATTAGGCTTGTCGGCTTTTGTTTAGAGTGTAAGAGGCCTAGAGAATATGCAGCCGGCCTGACCCTGTCATACGTTGCTATCGGTAGCCATGTCCCGTTAGGTGCCTGAGGCAAAGGAAAGATTCGAGTAGGGTATCACCGCCTGACTCTGAAAACTCCTGGCTCGTTACCAGTCTGTACCTGCTGTGGGAGTCGCATAGTGGGTTTGGGTCAGGTAATTAGTAGATAGCTTGTTAAGGGAGAGTTAACACAGAACCAAACAACAACATATTATATTGTATAATCATCTGGTAAGCGTGTGAATAAAAAATACGACGTCTGCTAACTGTAGATTTCCACTTTAGCAGGTACGCTGGGAGCCCGGCTATAATCAGATTAATTAAACAGAGAAAACAAGTAGGATGGCATGTGATTAGCCGGCCAAAATATATCTATGCAGGGGAGTACAAGAACAAAAAAAAAAAAAAAAGGGGGAAGGGGGGTTTATTGTGTGCATCAGTGTCAGTTCTCTTCATGTGTATCTCTTAGTCGAGGTACACCTTATACTGGTAACTGGGGCGGGACCCAAAAACAAGTTATTTTGCCAAAGAGTGGGGACCAGGCTATGTATATCATAAGCAACTGATGATACTGGGTTTGACAGTGATAATCATAAACATAAAAATTAACATTATATTATCTGAGTTGGTGTCCATGTGCGTCTCGATCGTCGGCTGCTCCTGTTCAGGTGGTCGCAGCTACATAAGAGTTCGAGGCGATCCGTCGTGGGACAAAGGGGTGAATGTTGTCAGGGTCCCAGCAGCCAGAGGGCGCCGGCTCAGGTTGTGTGTCTTGGGTAAGGGCTTCTGGGGGTAGCCCCAGGGCTGAAAGAAGTCCGGCAGCCTCTTGGAGGTTGTGGATGGCGTGTGGAGTGACTCCATGGTGCACCAGCAATGTACGGGAGAGCTTCCACTGGTAGCGGACATTTTTCTGTTGTAGGAGCGCGGTCAGTGGCCAGAGCGTTTTCCGCCATGCCAGGGTGCTCCCCGAGAGGTCGGCGTAGACTGTGAGGGGCATGTTCTCAAAATGATAAGGTGAGTGTCCTCTTAGTGCCGTTAGAACAGCGGTTTTGTCTGACCCGCTTTGAAACCGGACCACCAGGTCCCTGGGGGCATTGTTTGGGGCCCTGATGGGTTTGGGTACTCGGAATTGGCCCTCTATCACCACTGATTTAGCCTGTCGGGGTTGCAGTAGGGCCCCTATCAGGCGCCTCACAAAATGCGGCAGCTCCGCGTCTGGTATCTCCTCCTTCACCCCACGCACTTTAATGTTGTTTTGGCGCCGGGAGTCCTCTTGGGCAGCAAATCTGCGTTCGTACAGCTGGTTTTGATGTTGTAATTCCTGCACTGTTTGCTGGAGCGACAATAATTGTTGGGAGTGCTCTGTGGTGGTGAGTTCGAGTTTCCCGATGCGGCCTGTGAGGCCCCTCAGGTCCCCGCGGATTGTGGCTATGTCCGCTGAGAGATTTTTCTGGAGCTCGGCCAGCATCTCTTTTAGGTCGGATTTAGTCACCGGAGGCTCTGCTGGGTACTGTGATCTCCGCAGGAGGCTCTCTGGTGCCGGCGGGTATTCCATTTCGTCGCCTAGTGAGTCGTCCTCCGAAAACTCGGAGCAACCTCCAGTGAGGGTAGCCATCTTGGGCCCAGTGGTACCGTGCGCCGGCCGCCATAGGTCTCCAATTGTTAGCCCTGGACTGGGCTTGTCTGGTCTGAGCTTTTTGTTCCTGCGTCCCATCTGGGTCTTGGTGGCGAGGGTGGTCCCCTTAAACACTGTGGGTGCAATTAGTTTGAATATTTCGCTCGATGTTGGCTGTCGTGGAGAGGAGCTCTAGAAATGTGCGACCAGTCTCTGCGGCAGTCGGCTCCGCCTATGTTACTAGCTTTTAAAGTGAAGGTATACCCATGTGTCCCGCACACAGGATTGGCAAACACTGATGTACAAAGAAAAGCCTGGTTTTATAGTTGAGACCATGATATGGAGGGGAACCCAATTTGTTTTCCATATTCACTCTTTATTAGGTTTCCTGTTCAGAAAGAAACAAATTCCCATATATGCTGGTGCAATTAAGGGATAATATTGTTCCCATCATGACAAACTTGGCTTGTTGACACATTACAGGATATAACATACTTTAAAGAGACACTATAGTCACCAAAACAACTTCATCTTAATTAAGCAATGTCGGTGTATATATCATGCACCTGAAGTTTCACTACTCAATGCTCTGCCATTTAGGAGTTAAAATTACTTTTGTTTTTCGGTTTATGCAGCCCTAGCCACACCTTCCCTGGCTGTGATAGACACAGACTGTATGAAAAAAAAAAATGTTAGATGTTAACTTACTTTAAAAGGTTTTACCTCCTGCTCTGTAAATTGAACTTTATTTGCATACTAGAGGCTATTGCAGGCTCTAGCAAGCTATTAACAGAGCAGAACAAAATGAATTCTAAATGAAACAGAATCTGCATTAAATGAAATGTAATCATTAGCTCTAACTTTACAGGAAGTGTTTAGGAAAGCTGTGTAAGTCACATGCAGGAAGGTGTGAATAGTGCTGCATAAACAAAGTAATGTATCTTCTAAATGGCAGCGAATTGAGCAGTCAGACTGTAGGGGCATGATCTATACACCAAAACATCTTAATTAAGCTAAAGCTGTTTTACTGACTATAGTGTCCCTTTAAATCCAGCACTGAGACCAAGTGCTTCCTGATATTCTCATCTATATCCGCATCACTGGGTCTTGGTCCGAGAAGCATTTGATTGGATCACTACACGGCTTAAAATGCATGTGTGAAAGTGCAGTTATGCTGCGTGCGATAGAGAAGCTCATTACATCGGTCACCAGCGTGTAGTGCATGCTGATGCCAGATTTAATTTTTGCACAGGATTGGTATTAGGCATATCGAAACAGAGTCGAAGGATATCCCAGTCATGTGTGACAAGGGTGCAACCAGCCCCTGGCACAAAGGTGCAATCCTCTCAGTACATGCAGCGTTTCAAGCAGGAACACTGCATATACAGACTACTATCATCATGATCACGTCTAAATGCAGAAGCGGTCATGGTGGTTGGAGTATCCCTTTTTGTGGGGGACACACTAAATATCAGGGTGAAACATAGAATGTGACGGCAGATAAGAACCATTTGGCCCATGTAGTATGCCTAATTTTCTAAATACTTTCTTTAGTCCCTAGCCTTATCTTATAGTTAGGATAGCCTTATGCCTATCCCACGCATGCTTAAACTCCTTTACTGTGTTAACCTCTACCACTTCAGCTGGAAGGCTATTCCATGCATCCACTACCCTCTCAGTAAAGTAATACTTCCTGATATTATTTTTAAACCTTTGCCCCTCTAATTTAAGACTATGTCCTCTTGTTGTGGTAGTTTTTCTTCTTTTAAATATAGTCTCCTCCTTTACTGTGTGGATTCCCTTTACGTATTTAAATGTTTCTATCATATCCCCCCGGGGGGAGACAGACAAAAAAAACCCACTTAAAATATGACTTTTTATTTGTTTAGTTAAAATGTATCTTTATGTGTTTACATACTCGTAACTGTAATTGTTACAAATAATGATACAAAGTATAAGAGTATATCCTAAAGTGAAACTAAAGTGGGTTCTGTGATTTGGAAATAACTTTTGGAATAAATGCACATTGCAAAGCTGGAGACAACAGACCTTTCTGCTTTTTGCGGATTCTGTCCACGAGGCTTCGGATTTGTACATACTCTTCCCACTCTTTCCCAGGTATGGAGTTAGGGTTGCTGCACTCTGAAGTAATAAAAAAAAAAAAAAGTTACAAACAAAACAATTAACAAACAAACAAGCATTAGTTTCTTTCACAATGTCAAATTTCTGACATAAAAGCATAAAATGTGTATGCATATATTAGAATTAATAACTCACTTTACTGCCCCTCATGGTTTGTTTTAGTTAAGCCCCTACGTATTAGATGCACAACTGGTCTGAAACAGTCCAAGAGTAAATTTTAGACATACTCCGTGCAAGACATCAGGGTTTATAAACGCACATTAGAGCTTGATTACCCGCATAGTTCCAGACAAAACGAACTTAAAAGAAAACTCCAAGTACCATAAACACTAAAGCATGTCATTGTGGATATAATAGCAGTGTTGCCCTGGCTCCTCCCCATTGTAAGTCGTGAAATCTAGACTTCCAAAATCCATTTTGGCTCGTTCGTCCAAATCAAAATCTTCGAATCCACACCAGAACGAAATCGATTTACCCAGGAATTACCTGTTGAGTCTTATTCATTGAATAACACTACACTTACCTAATTGAATATGACTCCACAGGTAAATACTGGGTGACTTTATTCGTCTGGGTTTAGTTTAAAAGAATTTTGATTCGGACAAAGCAACGAAAGCAAGTTCATTACACAAGTCTAGTTAAATAGTTATAGCACTTATAGGTGGCTTGCCCCCCCCCCCAGTCCTTCTATAAAAGTATAAAACTCACCTTATTTTCAGTGCCGCGCGGGTCCGCCAGCCCCGCCCCCATTATCACATCATTAAAATGGCTGATTTTTAGCCAATCCAATGCTTTCCCATAGGAAAATCATTGGACTGGCTAAGATTGGCACGGGGGCGGGGCCAAATGCAGTTTTGTCCAATCAGGACCTCCTCATAGAGATGCATTGAATCAATGCAGCTCTATGAGGAAAATTCAGCGTCTCCATGCAGAGCCTGGGGACGCTGAACGTCAGGGCTGCTTACTGTGCAGCCCTAAGGCAGGAAGCTCCTCCAGTGGCCACCTAAGGAGTGGCCACTTGGAGGTGTCCCTAGGGGCAATGTAAACACTGTCTTTACATGAAAATGCCTGAACGGCGCTATTATACTCACCAGAACAACTACATTAAGATGTAGTTGTTCTGGTGACTATAGTGCCCCTTTAACCTTCGACCTGCCAAGCATCGCTTCACATATCATTTGTGCTGGAAATTCTCTTCATTTAATCTAAACACAGCAGCAAAGTGCTTAGATAATTGGCTGTGAGCAGCAGTTGATTGCTTGCTGCCAATCAGTAAGCCCTGTGCTGCAGAGGATAGCTCAATAGAAAAAGGATAGCTCCTAGGTAGGATTTTCCACTTCTCTTTGTGGCAGACAAGTGTGGAGCAGCGCCTGTCAGGACCTAGGTAGGAAGTCAAATAAACAGTTTGATTACATACATTGAGGGGGCAGCAGAGAACTCATGGTACCATAACAACTACAGAGTGATGCAGTGGTTATGGTGACTGGAGTGATTTTTTTAAAGATGGATATTTCCATTGAACAAGGGTAAGAGACCAAAAATATTTTTTATTCTCATGTCTATGTATTACAAAGTAACACACACAGATTACAAGTCATCTAATCAATGGAAATGCATGGGACAATCAGAATACTTAATTTCACTTTTACTAAATATATGGCTTGAATTTTATAGCTTAAATGACTTGCTCATTTTAAAATGTACATGTCACCAGTCAGTATTAAATTTTTTTGTAACATTAGGTTTTTTGTTTAAAATATTTAAAGAATAGAGTATGACCCAAATGAATAAACTTTGGTGGGGGAAGGCTACGGGCGTGGCTACGCATCTGCAGTGGGGGACATACATCTTTCCTTCGCTCTCTCTTTCTCTTGTCTGTACTTTTACTTATTATTCTCTTTCCTCCCTCTTATTCTGCTGTACTACGTCACCACTCTTGGCCTCTTCTTTTATTTCCCTTTTCTAATGTGCCGTTCTATGACAGCACCTATAATACGAGGCTGAGGTGTAGGCGGATTGAGTACCAAGGGCTGATTTTACTAAATTAAGGGAGGTGGGGAGGGGGTAAACAATGAAGCTTTCCCTTGCAGGTGCGCTCCCAGTGTTGTCTGCAAGGGTCTGTGGTCAGCGCAGTGGGTGCTGACAACAGACATAATTTTCGCACAGAATTGACATTAAGCAGCCCAGAACAGAGCTCCAGGCTGTCTAAGTCAGGTGTGCCAGGGGTTGGACTAGCCCCGGGCACAAAAGTTCAAATATCTCTGTATGTGCAGCGTTTCCATTACAGATGCTGCACATACAGATTACTGCCACCATAACTACTTCTAAATGCAGAAGTGGCCATAGTGGTTGCAGTAAACCTTTAAGTTACTTAAGTTATTGTGCAAAATATAAGCAACAATGAAATACAATAAAATATATAACAGTCACACAAGGGAAACATATACAATCCAACTCCCAGGGCATTCTGTCCGAGTTTCTTACGATAGGCAAACCATAGTGTCAATGGATATATAGATTTTAAGCAGTAGATGGCGCTGCATCAAAGTCCATGGTTTATAATCCATGTTTCTTAAACAGTCAGATGCAGTGTAATCCTTACAATTGGGTGTTTCTCTGGTTGCACTATTATATGTATCAAATAGAAACATAAAAATAGCAAAGGGGAATGGTGTTTATTAGCTATAATGAGCAACTTTTAGCGGCACGGTCATAACCCCTGAAAAAGGAGTATTTCATAAACATAGAATCTTTATGAAATACTAATTCTGACGTTGTTGGAATTTCACTGAAATACTGAGACAATTGTAGGGACTACTGTGTCTCTGTATATTTCCTCCGCCTGACTTTCTTACACTCTGGGTGGAGATGCAGTGTCAATCCAGAGAGCCGTCACCAGTGATGACTGCAGGGAATTGGCCCAGTCTATGGAGGATTCCGCAGGACCTCAATGCTGTACTCTTGCACATGCATGAGAGTAAAGTACTAAAGCTTCAGCTCCTGTTGTCGACAGGAGTTAAAGAGGACCACAGGAGGATGATCGTCACACCTGTGAAGGACAGGTTCAGGTAAGTAGAACTCACCTTTACCTGGCCTCCCAGCGAATTCAGTAAAGTCCTTTAGAAATATATCTCTAAATTTACTGATTTTACAATTTCCCATGGATTTAATTACTCAGGAATTAGAGAGTATGTACGTGTATGTCTGTGCATACTTGTATGCTGACTAATGTTTTACTGCTACTGCTAATTAGCTTCAAGATGCTCTATCAAGGCATGGCTGTTTTGTTGCCTATGGATGTTCTATTAATAAGTACCTAATGTAAGTTTGTGTCAGAGCTGACAAAACAGCTGAAACCATCATCTCACGTTTACATTCATATTCCAATTGTAGCAGGGGATGACTGTTTAAGTGTGAAACAGCAGAATGATCAGAGAAAGTGGATACACAGCTCTCAGATTGTGGTGTCTGACTAAGTCTTACTGAATACTTACTCTGTAACAGTTCACCAATCAAATTCATCATTTCTTTTGGGGAAACGGCCGCTGTGGCTCCACTCCCAGACTTCTGAGTCTTCACTCTACTCTTCTTACCCATCTTGGAGTTCAACTAAAAAAAAAAAAATACACGTCAATTAGCCTTGTGCACACGGAGGGTGGAGTATGTTACTACCACTTTACCAGGCACAGGGAATTAAAGGGACCCAGCTCTTTATAGCATTTATTAACTCCAATTGTCATTGGTCATTAGATCAAGAACTGTTTTGACAATTAAACCAATCCTAGCCCTCCCAACACAGCTCTGTGCACATCTCGTGAATAAATGCATGGCAAAGAATTAAGTGACGAGTAGTTAAAGAAACACTATAGTCACCTAAACAACTTTGGCTTAATGCTTCATGCTTCTCAGGTTTCACTGCTCAATTCACTGCCATTTAGGAGTTAAATCACTTTGTTTCTCTTGATGCAGCCCTTGTCACACCTCCCCTGGCTCTGATTGACACAGCCTGCATGAAAAAAAAAATGGTTTTACTTTCAATCAGATGTAATTTACTTTAAAACAATTGTATCTCTTTCTTTGTAAATCGAACTTTATTTAACATACAGGAGGTTCTTGCAGGGTCTAGCAAGCTATTAACATAGGGGGATAATAAAATCTAAATTAAACAGAACTTGCAATAAAGAAAGGATAAATATTAGATGACTCTTTACAGGAAGTGTTTAAGAAGGCTGTGCAAGTCACATACAGGGAGGTGTGACTAGGGTTCATAAACAAAGTGATTTAACGCCTAAATGGCAGATAATTGAGCAGTGAGACTGCAGGGACATGATCTGTACACCAAAACTGCTTAATTACGCTAACGTTGTTCTGGTGACTATAGTGTCCCTTTAATGTGGTGCAAGAAGTTTTTTTTTTTTTTAAGATGTTTTCAATGTTTTGACAAACTGGTAAAAAAAAAAAATCACACAGGAGTTGTATGACATGAGGAAACCATATTTGCACGTAACAAAAATATGCCATGCTTTTCAGATGTAACAATATAGTTACAATTATAATCAACAGATTGAATGTGACCTCTGATGGCACAGCAATAAAAGGTTAGGACTGTCATATAAGGAAATATAACTTTTCATCACCATTTTTTTTGTTCTATTACAACTGGGATCTTCTTTGTCCTGATCTAGAGTTTTAGTGGTTCAGTCAACTGAAAGAACAAACGGCAAAATGAATGCCAAAATATTAATTTGAGGAAAAATAACTCCAACTCAGTTATAAATTGTGTAGTTCTACTAGCTATGTTAAGAAGATATAAAAATAAAATTTCTTGGTTGTATTTGCCCCCGTAAAATTCAGCGACAGGCTGGAATAACGAATAAATTCTAGACTTTAACAGATCATGGTAGTTCTTAATGTACTGAAACCCTGAAGCACCCTAGGTTCGCTAGTCACAATTCTGAGTGAACAGTCATGGTGATTGTTTTTACATGACAATTAGACCGTGTATGTACCGCGTGGTACAGTATGGGCTTCAGCAGTAAATGGGATTCACCCATTCCTTTCTAAAGCTCAGTATTTTAATATCAATATCCAAGCATGCACAGCAGTTATAACAGAGGTATAGATCATTTAATAAAAGGAGAGAAGTTATGACAGAGGAATTCAGAGCTGGCTTTTCCGCAGCATAGGAAATAAACACTAATTTTCCTTTGACATAACCCTCTTGAGCAAAACGGCTCGTAATCTCTATTCTAAAATAAAAAAAACACATCACACTGAACATGTAGACTTAAGCCTCAAAAATACAACAAGCCTGTGTCACTTCAGCCTACAAAAAGATAATTATTTTGTCACTGATTCCATGGAAACAGATGAAGGGGATTATTTGAAATATCACAGCACATGGCTGGAAAATGTAGAGAACAAGTCTCTCTCTTTTGTTGCTTTAACGTGTATTAAAATGTGAGCAATACTTAGCATATGAGTAAAAAAAATATAAAATAAACTTTTTATATATACAGGCCTCCTAACAGTCCCGCTTCCAGAGTGACTGTTCCAAGATAAGAGTCCTGTCTGGCAGTCCTACTTTAGTTCCCTGGTGTCCAACATCTAAGACACCAGGCTTAGCAGCATTCCCTGTATGGTCCTAAAGGCTGGGGGTGGCCAGGCTGCCGCTCAGTGGCTGGGTCTGCTACCTTTTCGGGTATACCCACTCATTATGGGCATCTCTAGTGGCACAGGTTACCTCACAGAGGATGCACCCTCAGGGCACCCACCCAGTCAGGATTGTTGGGAGAAATGTCACATAGTTACATAGGTTGAAAAGAGACATGTGTCCGTCAAGTTCAGCCTCACATCTGTTTTCACTATGAAGCACTTCCAATTTTGCAACGCTCGAGGAAAAAAAATCCTTCTTGATACCAGAATTGGATCAAGAAGCTATTACACTACAATTTAAAAATTATATCCTTGAATATTCTGTTTTGCAAGTATGCATCCAGTTGCTTTTTAAACATCTGTACAGACTCTAATAAAACCACTTCTTCTGATATAATTTTAGCAGCACCGTATTCCACAAAGCTTTACAGTTATTAAGTGTGCATATATAACTGCAAATAATTGACAAACAAAATAAATGTTGACAGATACAAGATGTAGAGCAGGGCTCGTCAAATCCCAGGCGCCAGGTGATTGGTCAGCCCATTCCCTCCTCTTCCTGTCACAATCCCTGTGCAGCTCTCTGTGCGCTAGGAGGAAGTTAAGGGAACTGTAATTACTTTCTCCTGGTGCAGAGGAACGGCAAGCTAACCCAGCAGGACACAAGGTAAAGACGGCCCTGCTCCCCGCCCCATGCCGCATAGCTGACTCTGCTTCTGGCCGCCTCCTGGTCCCATGCCGCTTGCCCGCCCTTTCCCTGCGTGACCTCAAGGCCGGGAAGAAGTTATTACAGTTCCCATCACTTCCTCCCAGCGCACAGAGAAAAGGGGAAATGAGGGAGTCTGGAACAGCGGCAGCCAGTTCCCATCAGTTGCAGCCAGCCCCACTAATATGATGCCACCTGCTTCTGCCCAGTCCCACTGGACCTCAGGGAAGCCACACTGCCAAGCCCAAAAGGTAGGAAACAGTATGTTTGTTTTTTTTTCTTACATTTCTGTGTATTTGTAATGTGTGTATAACTGTTTGTGTATTTGTCTGTGTGTATGAATGAATGTTCGAGTTTGTTTGTGTGTGTTTATGTTTGAGTGTTTTAATAATAAATAATACTTTGTGAGTGTGTGAGAAAGTGTGTGTGTTTTTCTCTCTCTCTGTCAGTGTGTATGTTTTGGTCATTAGCCCACTCTGATCGCATGGGAAATATGTTTTTACCCATCTTTTTTCCAGCGCTGTGCCGGTCTCGCTGCAGCTGGCCCGCCTCCGTAGCCGAGATTATCAATTACCAATCAGCATCTCCTCAAAGAGATGCATTAAATCAATTAAAAGCATCTCTATGGGGAACATTCAGCACCTCCATGCAAAAAAGCATGAAGATGCGGAATGTAGGAGTTGCACATTGTGCAGCACTGAGATAAGAGACACTTTAGTGGCCATCTGCGAGAGACAGCCAGTAGAGGTGTTACAAGGCAGCAATGTAAAAACTGCCTTTTCTCTAAACAGGCAGCATTTATTTTGAAAAGTCTGCAAGGACATGTTATATACACCAGAGCCATTACATTAAGCTGTAGTGATTCTGTTGACTTTAGTGTTGCTTTAACAATTGTATTTTAGTCTTCGGGGGGGAGGGGGGGGGGAAACAACCTGTCTTTACTTTTTAGCTGGCTCCATGATGGAAAGCAAATTTGTCAAGGTCTGGTGTAGAGAGCATCGCGTAAACAAACTCACAGTCTAGGCGGACGTGTAGTAAAAGTCTAAAAAGAGAAAACATTAAAAAATGTCAGGGGAAAGAGACCCCACTTCATAAATAATCAATCCATCTAACCGTTGGGCGTTTTCCTCATCTTCCAAGAGTGTCAGGTAACACTCGCTTAGCCAATGCGTTTGCGGCTTAGCGCAGTTCAGGAGCTTCAATGGGCAGAGAAAGCAGCGGCAAATCATTCTTAAAACAGTTTGACTACTTTCTGTAGGGAATCACCCTGAGTCCCTGACCATTAAACAGATCCCAAGCAGCAACTACCTTTAAATACAGTGTTTTGGGAGTTAGAATCCAACAACAGAGGAGGAGATGATACATTAGCTACAATTCATTTGCCTGAAGCAATTTCAATTTATTAAATCATTCACTCTCTCAACTCACAGAGTAACTTGACCGCGTGACTCTCACATGGGAAACCAAATATTCAAAGAAGGTATAGACAGAGTTAATAATGGTCACAATCATTACACAGCACATTCCCATTCAAAGCTCACACAGAAGGAACAAAGACATACACAAACAAATACAGAACAATGCTGACTGGGTTATTCACCAATTGTTGGGAATTCACCAACTAACTGCAAATTTTATGCCAGAAATTGTTTTGAGATTTCTCACTCAATCCTGCTCCTTCCAGTGTTTTCAAAAGGAGCACTCTTTCCAGAAAACACAGAGCACCAAGATTTATTGAGATATGCATGGTATTTTCACTAAAGTGTGAATGATCAGGAACAATGAATTTTAAATTTGAGGCCAAAAAAAAACACACACTGAAAACAGTCGAGTTGGATAATTTTTCCAATTCTGCAATTTGGTCGTGTGAGCATCTAGTCCAGGGGTAGGCAACCTATGATACATGTGCCATGCACTGCACTTAAGGCTGCTAGAACCAAACAGGCCTCTCTGTCCTATCAGGAGTCCCAGTAAAACTTCCAATATCTGCCAATAAAAAAAAAGGTGGTGAAGTACAATCCTCAATTCATGCACTGCAGCACATAGAGAAAGTGATTTCAGATCACTTAATTCCAGCACTTGTGAATGGGAATCCACACTGTAGTAGAGTAGCCCGTAGCTGCTATTGCAGCTCCTGTCCTTAACATGTATATGGCCAGCCTGGTCCCCACTGGAACCCAGGGAAGCCACCCACACTGCTAGATATACACAGAGCTGCAAATTTACTCTCCCCTCATACAAATAATACGAACAGCCCACACACAATCCGCACAAACGCAACACCACTAACAATCCACATACATGCACACAACTCCAGAAGCAGCCTCTCACATGCAATACCCCAAACAGCCCCACACATACACACACTGCCAAACACAATGTGACATATCCACCCACACACAATGTGAAATATTTATCCGAACAAAATTCCACAAGCAGCCCCCAAACACAGCCCACATTCATATGTATCACACACGATGCCACAAACTACTCATGAACATATACAATATAATAGATTTTTTTTTTTGATTGATTTAATAAACTTATTTAACTGTCAAAAAGGTTTACATTTTGAATCTATTTCTTTGACTATTCAAGGTTAAATTCTATGATATTCTACTACCAGGTAAAAAAAAAAAAATCTATAATTTTGTTTCCTTTTCACATAGATTAGCTTTACTGAGAAATTATACCCCCATAAAATAATTGATGTACTATAGAAAAGGTATGAAAACTGGCCCTAGGGATCACTCATTTTAGCATGTCCCTTAAAGTGTTCTTTGCTAAACTCTAGATTTTAGTGAATTAAATCCAAATGTAAGAACTGGGGCTACAACAGTCAAGTTGTCCGTCCTCAGTTTAGCCGGCTCTTTATATTATACTGCTCTTAAGGCAATAATGTCTAGAAGTTAGTTACACAACACACACAATACTGCGGCTGGCACCCAATGGTACTACTCATAGTTCTTACTCATTGGTGTTGTTTTAATTTGTTATGATTTTGTCTGATATGCATGCTTGCAAAGCAGCACTGTACTTCACCTGATCTTTCACCTTGTCTAAGCTTGTTACAACTTTAAAAAAAAAAGTGTGCAGATTGCTTTTCTTGAAATTTAAAAACTAATCTATTTTCCTGATATTCTGTAAAGACTACCAAACTGATGTAACTTGCCATGCACAACCAAAATAAAGAATTATTAAAAAAAAATATATATATATAGTTGTGACTATAGCTGAACTGTCGAAGGTTTCAATATCAGCCTTAATTTTAATTCTCTAAAAGTTTAGTGAATTACTCTTTTTGGAGTGTTTCTTAGCGGTATGGCAGAGGTCTTTATCTCTTTAATTGAAATGTGCATGCATTTTATGTTACTGTGCAGTATAGTGCAGTGCTCCTGTCCTTGTAACCCTGCGATATAAAACACTGCAGTTTTTAAGAAACAGCCAGATGACACGTTTTAACAAAAAGCAGTTTTTCAAGACATTGCACAGCGCTCTGCTTGGCATGTGGTGTGGATTGCAGAAGTGATCTTGCGCAATACATGTATCCACCTCCTCATAAAAAACTGTTCATCACTTTGACAACGTTATAAAAACACACAAAAGTGAATAAAAAATACACTACATAGTCTTCCTAACCAGATATAAAACTAAAATTCAAGCTAGTTCATAAAATCAACTTAATATGGCAACAAATTCACTTTAAAAGAACACTAATCACCAAAATCACTACATATTAACCAGGACTAGATTTACATCACTAGTACCTGTACGCACATTATTTTCAAGCGTCCATGAATCTGCCCTTCTAACCTAACAAAATAAATTAATAATAAAACCAAAACTTGAATGTTTAAAGATGATAAAATTTTGATCATTTCAAAGCAAGCAAATTAGAAGAGTCTACTTTGGCACTGGATTACAAGTAAGTTTAATGGAGTTTTCCATTTTTCCTTTCTTTATATCTGAAAGTCGTCACATTTGCCATCACAATGAGAAATATGCAATGCTGTGAGCGAATGTGTAGAATGTTCAATAGGCCCCAATTCTTCTTTAGAAAGGAGCAGGGAGAATGCCTGGCACTGTATATGAAAGCTTTAAGTACATTTACACATGCACACATAAGCACAAACAAACCGAAAAAGCCCATCATGACAGTAAACATTCGTGCCTGGGAACAGCCAGAAGGCCTTGACCATGACAAATAAAAACACTGGCGCTCTTGTTCATCTTTATAAATATCCACTGGATGTTTTAGTTTACTTATATGGACAAAAAGGTATTTATTCTATGATCACGGAATCAAAGAGCACTGATAAAAGAATTGAAGATTTTAGCCTCAAAAAAAATATGTTAAGGTTTTTTGGTCAATTACCAGCTTAATAACATGGTTATTCCCTAAAGTCTGAATTGTCTAGAATTCAAATTTAATTGGAAAAATATTTTATATTTAAGACCAAAGTAAGAAAAGTTTTCAGCTTAGCGGTTTCAGCTTTTGTGAATAACTGTGTGAATGTAGTTCAAAAGACCTAAAGAGAATTAATAAGAAAATTGCAAATTTGAGTAGAAAATAGCTCCATTACATAAAAAGCTGTGATGATTCTTGTCTTTTATTTGGCTATTTTGTTCTTAAAGTGGCCCTGTCGCAGGCTGGGATCTTTACATAATTTGCAAAGGCCCAGATGGTGACTGCACCACTGGCAATACAGTGGGTGAGGGGTGCAGGAAAAGCTTAGTTATACTTACCTGGACTTGTCCCTGGTGGCCACCGCCTTCTTTATCCTGCCAGTCCTCTTCAGCAGCCAAGAGCTAACATCACTGTTGTACGCTCACACATGAGCGAGAGTACAACACTGAGGTCTATGGATAATCTAACAAGATCGGGGGATGCTCTATAGACAGAGCCTTTTCACCTCAGCAGCCACTTGTGATGACTACTAGACAAAAGGTAATTCACCTTTTGCCAAGCAAAAAAAAAAAAAAATTCATAAAAATGTTATCATTGTGAAATACTTATTTTAGATTGGGGTGGGTGGGGGTGACAGGGCTGCTTTAAAGGACCACTAAAGTCACCCAGACCAATCTCTCAGAGGTCCTGTCATATTCAACTATACAATGTATAACATTACCATCATGTAGGCGCAGCAATGTTTACATTGAATGATTAAATACACATCTAGCGGCTCTCCTCCTGTCAGCCATTAGAGGTGCTTCTTCCTCCAGAACAGAGTTAAACTCTGCTTACAGTAGCATTTGATTATAGGAGTGCAGTGTTTCGACACTCGTGCGTATCTTGTCCACCAATACTTCTTTATGAGAAGCACTGGAATGGAAGAGATCGTGGAAGACGCCAGCAGGCATCTTGACTTTTATCATCTAATATCATAAAGACAGACCTAAACCCCAGACAGCAATAGATTGACAAAATGGAAGGCAAACAGGTCCTTGACATTCCCAACGTGTCTGCTTTGTCCAAAATGTTGCAATCAACTAAAAACTGTATAGCTAAACCTAACAGCCCATCATTTCAGAACAAAAACACTTACATATGACTGTTTCAACGATGAACATCTGTCAACAAGGTAGACAATAATAGTCTCACAAAAAAAAAAATAATCTGCCCTCAAAATTTTTTTGCTAAAGGTCACAGACATATTTAGCCTTTAAACCATTAAGGAATGGTTTGATACACCTCACTCTCTGCTTTGTTGAGCTATATTGACAATGACAATTTCATAAAACCAAGACTGTGGTGAGAGTGCTGGCAAAGGACTAGCTCAGCTTGAACTATAACCTGTGTCTTTGCTAGGCCAGTGCATACCACCACCAACCAGCCCAGTCATATATCCAAAATAGAGGTGGTCAAATGTTAAACCCAAGCATTTATAGAACCAGAACTTAAACAGAGGACAAAGCATCAACTAATTTGTAGTTCAACAGCTAGCGATCTCCCTTTTGGCCTTATCCCCAATAAAACACTGGAAAGGAATTTACAGAACTTTGTGAGAATAACAAGATGGAAGCTGTAATGCAAGTGCTGGAGGGATTATAACGGACACGTGATTTAAGAACGATGGAAGGCAATATTGCAGTACCGATATGACACGAACAATAGCCAGGGAAGCATACATACCCTCACTACTTGGGATCTCAAACTGCATAAAACAAAATAAGGTTTTCTGGAACAATGAGGCTTTGATTATCTTGCAGAGTCGATTCACTTATATTTTTCATGAATGAAACTCCTGCTGACTGCAGAACTACTTAGCCTATAGACCAGAGGTTAAATGTATATGCTAAACAATTGTACAGATGAAAAAAATTTTTTTTAAAAATGGACCAGGCTTGGCTACGAAAACAGCCACTTCCGAATAAATATAATCAATATTGGCAATAAAGAAAATTAAAAAATAACAGGTTATGTAGTTTGTATTTGGAATCTATATTTAAAGCATTTTGTGCATATTGAATTATAAAAGTGAAGGTAGTCCGTATGTCACGTTACAACAAATGTCCACAAAAGCGTGCCAGGTGTTGCTTAACCCTGGCCAAAGGCCACCAGACTCACTATCCATTAGTGGTAATGGATCTCCATACTTATAAAATGGCCCAGTGAATGAGAAACCTGCATAGTGTTACTTTTAAACAGTAAGAGGTTATAATCAACATGGCATGACACTCACGTATAAACCACTGACAAATTTCTGTGGGGACTGCATACCTGTGACACATTGTTTACAAGTTTTTTGAACCCCTGAATGTTAGTGACAGATCTCAGGCTTCCATTGACACTGAATGTCAGTGACAAATTGCAATCTCCTAGGGTCCCTATAAGTCAGTGACATAGAACAAGCTGTATGAGAACCTAGATGTCTGTGACAAACATTTAAGGACCCAGAGATCTCAAGGAATGATTCAACCCAAGCCTCTGTGGCCCACACGATTATAAACTTCTATCTAGATATACTAAATGTTTGCAAATAAATAGACTGCAATGGATGTGACCAGCTTAGAAAACTACAGGAGGCCCTGAACTTCCTTGACGGACTGCAAGTTCCTGGGCACTGTATGTCTTTGAGAAACAGACTAAGGACCTAGAGCCAATAAAAGCGACAAACATTGGAAGCACCAGGAGGACTAAAGATGTCAGATAGAAGGCATTCTCCTGGGAGCCCTGGATATCAGAGACAGATAGACTGCAAGCTCCTGAGCGCCTTAATGTTAGTGACAAATTGCTAGATTCTGTGGTGCATGAACGGCAGTGACAGACAGGATGCAAGCTCCTGAGGCCTCTGAATGCCAGGGACAGATAGATTGCAAGCTTGTTAGGGCCCTAGATGGCAGGACCAGAGGGACTAGAAGCTCTTAGGTCCTTGAATGTCAGGGACAGATAGACTGCAAGCTTGTGAGAACCCTGGATGTTAGGGACATTGCAAGCTCCTGGGTGTTAGGGACAGATACATTGCAAGCTTCTGAGCCCCTGAATGCCATGGCAGGGGATAGATAGATTGCAAGTTCCTAAGGGCCTTGGATAATAGTGACAAATTGCTAGATTCTAGGGGCCTGGATGGCATTGACAGACAAGAAGCAAGCTCCTGAGTTCCTGAATGCCAGAGACACATAGATTGCAAGCATCTGGGCTCCTGGATGCCAGGAACTGATAGATTGCAAGCTCCTGGGCCACTGAATGCCTGGGATAGATAGCGTGCAAGCTCCTTGACTCCTGATTGCCAGGAACAGATAGATTGCAAGGGCGTGGGACCCTGAATGCTTGGGACAGATTGTAAGCTCCTGGATGTCAGGGAGAGATAGATTGCAAGCTCTTGAGGGCCCTGGATGGCATGGACAAATAGATTGCAAACTCCTGGAATCAATGACAGATAGATTGCAAGCTCCTGGGGCCCCTTCCTGGCCAGGGACAGATAGATTGCAAGCTCCTAGAATTCAATGACAGATAGATTGCAAGCTCCTCCGACCCCTTCCTGGCCAGGGACAGATAGATTGCAAGCTCCTGGGGCCCCTGTATGGCTTGGACACATAGATGACATGGTCCCAGGGACTGCTGATGCCAGGGACAGGTTGATGACTGGATCCTGGGCACCCTGGAGGGTAGGGACAGACAGATTGCTAGCTCCAGGGTCCCTGGCTGCCATGGACAGACAGACTGCAAGTTCCAGGAGCCATGTATATCAGGGACAGATAGATTGCAAGCTCCTGGGCCCAGTCAGTGCCAGGCGGTATACTGAGGGGGTGGGGAGGGGACTTACCTCCCGGCTCCCTCCTCCTCCTGGCACCTCTAACCGTTACCGACTGCGCCCGTGGAAAGGAATAGCAGGGCCCACGCAACCCAAACTGCTTACTCCCAGCGGCCCCGCCTCTCAGAGGAGCTACCTCAATGATTGAACGACAGAAGGCCTGCTCGCTCAGGCCATTGGTTACTCCACTTGTCACTCAAACCCTGGCCTGGCCTTTGAGGCAAGGCGCCGTCAAGTTCGGTTGCGTCGCAGCTCCTAGTAGCCCCGCCTCTTTTTAAGATCTCCAGCTTCCCCATTGGCTGTTACGGCTTCTATTTCCTTTTAAGAGTTTGCAGGGAGGAGGCGTGGTTTGCGGATGACGTAATCGCCGTGTTATTTCCCCCAAGATGGCGGCTCGTGGAGTGTAGAGTGCTTCCAGCTCCTGGAGGAAGAGGCTGGGATTCCCGTGGCCCCTGTGGGTGTATTCGGTAAGGCCAGGGCTCCATGGTGAGGCGGAGAGCTCCAGACTGCGCTGTAACCATTTAGGAACGGATTTAATTCCAACTTGTATTGGCTTTCATTGGACAGGTTTAAGCATGGTAATGGCAGGCTCTATTGTAAAGGCGCAGGGGCCCCCCTGGACACAGGCCCGCGGGGGGGGGCCCAGGCCCAGAGGGGGGCAGGGGGACACAGGCCCAGAGGGGGGCAGGGGGACACAGGCCCAGAGAGGGGCAGGGGGGTCACCCCTGGACACCATAGAGCAGTGGTGGGCACCCTTTGGCATTCTAGATGGTTTGGACTATATTTCCCATAATGCTGTTACAGTGAGATGTAGTCCACAACATCTGGAGTGCTAAAGGTTGCCTACGTTTGCCATAGAGTATTCTGGGAGGTCCCTGCTCAATGCCATGGAGTGGTCTCAGGGTTACCTTAGCAATGAGTTGTTTTGGAGGTCCTTGCTCAAAGATGCAGAAATCTCGCAGCATAGTCTTAACGGTTCCTGTACAATATCGAGGAATGGTCTCATTGTATGTGTAACTCTACCCAAAAAAAGTGCGGACCGATAATGCTGTCTGATAAAACTTGATCAATAATGTTTTGTGTTCTGTATTCCCAAATCAGAGTTTATTTGCAAGTGAAATAGAACCGGAAGAAATACTGCTTCTATGAAGGAGAATAAAGAAAATTCAAGCCCATCTGGGCAGTCTGGTGGTTCAGATGACTCAAAGCCTTGCTGGTATTGGGACAAGAAAGACCTGGCTCATACCCCGTCACAGGTGGAAGGTCTTGACCCTGCTACTGAAGCAAGATACCGCAGAGAAGGTGCTAGGTTCATATTTGATGTTGGAACTCGACTTGGCCTGTATCCTTTTCCAGTTTATTTTGAGAAGTTTGATACAAACAGAGGGTCCCCATGCTGCTCACAAATCAGCCGCTTTGTCTGCTTATTGCTAATTTAAATGCTTTCAGTTGATGTTGCTGGTGCAGAAGTGTAACATCTGGATTACTGATCTGCTGAACAAGGAATTGGTATAGGGGACCCTCAGATTGTGTAAAGCCACTTAAAAACATTTTGACAGTGCAGAAGGATGTTGTCATTGCAATGCTGACAGTTTGGTGGACTATAGTGGTGCCTAAAAGGTTACTCCAACCGAAAATGCTTTAGAAAAGCAGGAAGACTTGCTGTCTGATGTTAGATGCCAAATTTGCACAAGATAAATATTAGACACCCAAGTGCGTTTGCACCTCCAACTGCATAGTGGTTAATCTCCATATGTGCAGAGTTTCATAGTAAAAAGTGTCTCATGAAGCTATCTCTGCAGAATGGTCCATTGCTTTCATGGTGTCATAAATTACTCGTTGCTCATATCTTTTGTACAGTTTGAAGAGCTCTTAAATAAATAACTTTAGGGTTTGTTTTGTTTTTGTACAAAAGTTTCTGTGAATTCGGTGAAACCATACTGTACGGGGCCTTTCGGAATGCAAAATTCAAACATTTAAAGGACCACTCTAGGCACCCAGACCACTTCAGCTTAATGAAGTGGTCTGGGTGCCAGGTCCAGCTAGGGTTAACCAATTTTTTTATAAACATAGCAGTTTCTCTGAAACTGCAATGTTTATAAATGGGTTAATCCAGCCCTCAAATCCTCTAGCGGCTGTCTCATTGACAACTGCTAGAGGCGCTTGCGTGATTCTCACTGAAAATCACAGTGAGAACACGCAAGCGTCCATAGGAAAGCATTGTAAATGCTTTCCTATGAGACCGGCTGAATGCGCGCGCGCAGCCAGCCGAATGGGAGGAGGATCGGAGGCGGAGAGCTCCCCGCCCGGCGCTGGAGAAAGGTAAGTTTTAACCCCTTTCCTCTCCCCAGAGCCGGGCAGTTGGGGGACCCTGAGTGTGTTTTCCTGGCACTATAGTGGTCCTTTAATGTATGTATGTGTCCTGAAATTGGTACCTGAATGCTTAAAATATGGGCCAAGTTTTAAAAATCCAAACTATTAGACTATATAAACTAGTAGACAGTGGGCAAATTTGAAACCAAAAAAACCTTATCACGTTAATTGTAGCAATGGATGTAAAATAACTAGTCCCTTGTGCCTCAGTCTGTTGGCATTGGGTGGGTGACTTTACATGAACTATTTAGGGGGAGGGGAGATCAATGCCCACCCCATTCCCACATAAATGAAGTGGGGGTAAGTGCTACTTATTAAACAGGAGTGGGGAGACAGTGTCCCTCTCTACTTATAGGTAGTGAGTGAGGGTTCTAATTAAAATACAATACATAATATCCCACCGACACTGATGTTTGTGAGTGCACTATTTTGTGTACTTTGCCTTTTATTTTTAAGTGCTCTTTCAGGATTGGCTGCATCTGTCTCTTTCTAAATATCTGTCAACCATTATGCTTCCTGAGAATCTTGGGATGCATAGTCCTTCAGAGTTCACGTGGCAACAATTGACCATCACTAATATTTTATTTAAATTTCGATTACAATGCTGCACAGTCGGCATATAGGCCACTATGTTCACCCATATGAAAATAACATAACTATGTTCTTTAACCGATTTAACAGACATTATGACACTCTTGCTACAGGGATCATATATTTTCATCGATTCTACATGTTTCATTCTTTCAAACAATTTGCTAGATATGTAAGTATAGTTTCAAGTTTAAATTATTCTTTGTACTTTTTCATAATGAATATAATATGCACATATACTTGTAGAAAAAAAAATTGACTGCACTGCTAAGGTAAATATTAATGGAAGACTTGATGCACCATAACCAATGCAGCTCACTGTAGAGGTTATGGTGCCAGCCAAGGACAAAGTGGTTTACTGTAGTTGCTTTTTACTCTGCAGCTTACCCTATTATTAGGTCATTTTATGGTGTGTATTGCTAGTTTTGGTTAAAATGTGATATATATTTTGTTTTTTGTATCTCTTACTAAAGCGTGCTAGAATTCTTAGCAAGCAGGGCATTGTGAGAACTCACTCAGAATTGTCAGAATTGTTATGTAATTTATTTATTTATTTTCTCCTCTTGTGCTTATAACTTGGAGGTTATGAATGACTGACTAAAAACGTGAACTTTCTAAATAATATTTCACAGCTACTAATATCGCTACGTTACTGCTGCATACTTGGTCTGGCACACTTAAAGTTAAAGGGTTACACAGTAACTCCCTAACTTGTTCTTCTATTACTTAGTGGCACAGTTGACACAAATTGCTATGTGGCACTCACCCGCGGACGAAAGAACGTGGGTAGAAATGGGTACTGATGGGTGCAGATTTACCCCAATTTACAATTTGGGTCCCAAAAGAAGATAGACCTATGGTACGCGCCACCTGCCCGACAATTTAGAACTCTTTTTTTGATTATGGGATTCATGTGGGCTAAAATATGGCCTAGTGTCGCCTCCCCTCCCCTCCCCCCTCATGCCATACCTACGTAACAGAGCGTTCAGTCCCGGAGTGACAGCCAGGGATTTCAGGAATTTAGAAAGGGCTGGGCTTCAGAGGATACACCACTTATACCAGGGGACCGAACTTATAGCCTTCGAAGAGCTCAAATAAGGACGACACCTTACTCCAGCAGATTTCTTTAGGTACCTCCAGGTTTGGAATTTTGCTAAGCAACCCCGTATAAAAGAGGCAGCTATGAGAACAATGACGTTCTTTGAAAGAATATGCATTTCAGACGACAAACCTACGTGTCTTATAACACTGCTTTATGACCACCTATGTTCAGAGACAGTGGAATTGGCTTGACTTACATTGAACAATGCGAATGAGACCTGGGGGAGGTATTGGAGGGAGTGGCAAGAGATATGGGAAGCAAGTAACACGTCCTCCGTATGTGTCACCCTGCAGGAACAATCGTTTAAGACTATGTTCCGCTGGTACACTACCCCAGTAAAACTCTATAGGATGTGCAAATCTACCACCGATGTCTGCTGGAGGGGATTTGGAGCCAAGGGGACATATATCCATATGTGGTGGGAGTGCCCACAGGTCATACCATTCTGGAGGGCTGTTGAAAACCTATTGAACCATGGGTATATCTACTGAATAGGTCCATCGATGGTTGGAGCCGAAGGGAACAAACATTGATATACAAAATTACATTAGCTGCAAGACGGGCTATAGCATACACATGGCTAAAACCAGATCTGCCCCATATAGCGAGCGTGATAGCTAGAATCAAAGAAATTGACTTGATGGATGACCTAACGGCCAAGGTGAGGGAAATACTAAGACATTTCAAAAACTCAGAGCAATGGGACAGCAGCCCTCTGGGCTCCTAGAGAACATGGTCTCCCTCCAGGTCCCTCTCGTTCCTCTGTGCACCCAGCCTCTTCGTCCCGTCCCTCCCCGAGCATCCTTTCAAAACTTTATTCCTCTCCTTTCTTCTCTACCCTTCTCAGGCCCTCTTCTACAGGGCACAAGCTCAGATTTAAGCAATCGTACTCGCAGCTCATGTAACAGTGTGCATTATCTACTTTTTTTTTTTCCTTAAGTGAATGTATTTATTGCATGTCCATGCATGCAGAAATGCATGGACATGCAATAAATATTCACTTAAGGAAAAAAAATAAGTAGATAATGTACAAAAAACACTGTCTGGTTTCTTGGTCATGTGTCTTAGTAAAGGGAGCTGAAATGTTTTTTTAAATGTGTTTTCCTGGCACTATAGTGGTCCTTTAATGTATGTATGTGTCCTGAAATTGGTACCTGAATGCTTAAAATATGGGCCAAGTTTTAAAAATCCAAACTATTTGCACCACTAGTAGACAGTGGGCAAATTTGAAACCAAAAAAACCTTATCACGTTAATTGTAGCAATGGATGTAAAATAACTAGTCCCTTGTGCCTCAGTCTGTTGGCATTGGGTGGGTGACTTTACATGAACTATTTGGGGGTAGGGGAGATCATTGCCCACCCCATTCCCACATAAATGAAGTGGGGGTAAGTGCTACTTATTAAATGGGAGTGGGGGGACAGTGTCCCTCTCTACTTGTAGTGAGTGAGGGTTCTAATTAAAATGCACACTGTGCCGTGTAATGCTCATTTACGCTAATACTTGGATAAATGTCGCTGTCTTACTATGATGCTGCAATCTATGTGAAAAGATTCAAACATACTTTGTCTAGCATTCATTTATGTCCACACGTCATAAAGGCATTTTCAATAGGCAAAGACTGAGTGTTAGTATTGTACAATAGCGTGGTATAAGCATGCTAGTGTTATTTGTGGTAACGTACGCTCTCTGCACAATATAACTGGAAAATGACAAGTACAGTACAAGACCCCAGCGAGATTAAGAGAAACGTTAAAAGTAGACCAATGTCGTTTAGTATACATCGATGTTAAAAATAGTTCATCTAGCTCATGCCACGACAGTATACCTATATTATGATGTGATATATGATTTGCCTGATACAAATGTTTTATTGCCTGTATTATCATTGTGGTGGTAGTAGTGCCTTCGCTGGTTGCATCATAAGGTTTAAGTAGTCATAAAAAAAAATGGCCCTATCAGCACGTAAAGCCTAGACTGTCTGCAGCTGTTCAGCGAACAAAGAATTCAGCGTTAGTCTGAGGATCTTTGCACTTTACCACACAAATGAGCTAATCTAGTGAATGAACATGCTTTTTAACAAGGTTTTTCTTTTCTTTTTTTCGGATTCATTTTTAGTATTCTTCCTATCAATAATCCTCCAACTCAAAGGGCATGTTTACAACCCTGCAAATAGTTGACCCTTGTTAGAATATGAGAGCTGCCAACGGTCAGCTGGTTAAAAGTCGATTAAAAGTAGCAGTCTATTTTAGCAAGAAAGAAAAAAAGTTGAATGCTGTTCTAAAATGTCAATGTGTTTTTTAGGTTACAGGTGCTTGTTGCCTTTTCTTGGCTGGTAAAGTGGAAGAAACTCCAAAGAAATGCAAAGATATTATAAAGACTGCCCGAAGCTTATTGAATGATGTACAGTTTGGTCAATTTGGAGATGATCCAAAGGTAACAGTTGAAATCATGGTATGATCTATAATTTATTCAAAAATAAAAATTTCGGCTATTCAAAGTGCATGTTTTGATTCCCGAGTAGACTTTGTGTCTCAACACTACCTAACAGAAGTTAGTTATACGTCTGTCCCAGATATTCTACATCTTACCATAGGACAAGGCTCATAATTTGTAATCTTTAAAATGTATTTTGTTTATTTGCAAAAGTATAGTGGAAACTGGGTGCCCTTTGCCTTCGCAAGTGATATTTGCATGTTGGCTCAGTCACATTCTGTCCCATGTATTATACCACGTTTGCGTGCTCACACTACTGCTGCCAATACAGTGCCAGATGGAGAGGGTAATTTGATTATGGTGGTATTAGGCTGTGTGGGCCATCCCCTGGTTCTTGGCTCCCATGGTATATACAGGAACACTATAGGCACTCAGATTACTTCAGCTCATTGAAGTGGTTTGGGTACAATGTCCCTGTCCCCTTAACCCTGCAATTGTAAATTTTTTATTTCTGTGAAATATGAGGATGTCAAGCAAAACCCCACAGGAAAGCTATGCAGCATTGGTGCCGCCCCAGAACCGAGTGACCTTGCCACTGGGATCGGGTAAGTACGGAAAGGCTATTTTAACCTTGACAGCTGGGGGCTATAGAACTAGGAAAACAGATTTGTATTCCTAGCACTACAGTATCACTTTAAACAGACTTTATGTTCCTTTTGGCCTACTCCCAAGAAACTTTTTGAAGATTATTATTGACTAATATACGGAGGGAGTAACAATATTAAAAACTATAGTGTTATTGTGGTGGCAAATAAAATTCATGTCTAGCCAGTAGCTTTGGTTCTAATATTGTCAGCCAAGAATATAGTGCAGACTAGGGTATAATTCTATTTACTCTGAGATCAGCCATACCAAACGACAGGGGATCTGTCACCTTACAGGCAACTAATCTTGGCAGCATAAAATATTTTTCATTCTTTAATCCTTGCCTTTTGAAAGTAATATGTCCTAGCAGCCTTAGAGAAAGCAGTAGGAAGAAGGGGAAGTGATGAAATAGGGACACAATTGGAAATATGATCTCTAGATAAGTAAAATGTGTTTGGTTTTTTTTGGTTTTTTTGAAGGATTAATTCAATCTTTCATAAGCACTATAGCCCGTTATAGTGATTATGATTCCAGGAGTGCCCTGGTTCCTCAGTATTGAACGGTTTGCCCACTTTGGTCCCCGGTAGGCTTTGATGCTTATGGTGCTTCGAGTAACCCTTTAACTGCAATAAAAGGGTCAAACAGAAAAAGCTGTAGAGTTGTGCTACATGAGCTTCACTGGCGAAACGTGCACGTCAGGGGCTCTGGACACATACTGACACATTATTGGTGTCGGCACCTAACTCTCTGCTTATCAATTGCTAAATTACCAAAATCAAGTTCATTCATGTCCAGCATCTCAGGAGTGCATATTGGAGACTCTTAACACTAATTTTGTGTACTCTGTACATTCTTTATTTCTCTTTCTTTTTCCTTTATTACATTTATGGGGGGAGATTGATAAGACCAGGCATTTTTATTAAGGGGTGCCCTCGAAGGCATAAGATTCAGGAATCTTTATTCTATACGCCTTCCTCTGTCACTGTATATTTTCTGCTACCTAGGCAACCTGTTCAAAACTGTTTGTAAACCCTCTTTTTATACTTTGACCTATTATTTAGATGCAGCTAGCACTTAGGCAACTTGTGTGACTTTTAACCGATTAACTGCTGCTTGTCAGCAGTCCTTCACAGCTGAGCTACTACTTTGTGCTCCGCTGTGGTCAAGCATAAGATAACCTCATTCAGTGTAGGCAGCCGTTGTTACACGAGAATATACTACTAGGTATCTTGCAGAAAAAACAGAGCCAGTTCAGCAACCCCTTATTTTACACTTTACTGCTTGACAGCAACCTTTAATTTATTATCCATACGCTGCTATGATCTAGGCAACTTTTGTGATATTTAACTGGCTAATCGCCGTCTGTCAGAAATCTCTCAGCTGAACCATTACCTTTGATCTTTTTGAGGTTAAGCACCATAGAACATTATCAATTGTTGTATGTGGAGCTAACCCATGTTGTTAGTTGTACTATCATGTAGGGATTTACTTCTCCATATAACTTAACTATTGACAGCACTGGTTTAACAGTCGTCTTATCTCCCACCTCTTGTTACAGCTATTAGTGATATATAATACAGTATCACTTCTATTACTTGGAAATACTGATGTTATATTGTAGCAAACTGTATTGCTTCAGCATTAGTGCTATTACAGCTTATATAAGTAGTCACAGAGTTTTACTCGCTGTATAGTCTCCATCCACTCCTGCTGTTCATATTTTTCATTTTTATTTTAGATTTATTTATTAAGTTACTTTTTAAGACTATAATCTTCTCAGCAAATCATACACAGAATGGCATTTTTTTTTTCTTTTTTGTATGTTCTCTATGTGCTTCAACTAGCACTCACACCCTATTATTGCACTTGTAGGCTAAATGTTTGTCTGAATAATGACACATTTAAACATTGTTCTGGTGTGTTTTTGTAGTGATTATGGTGCTTGGTGTTCCTTTTTATTAATTTGAATATATATTTTTACATGCTCTCCCTGTTATTTCAACAGGCAAATCATGTTTTTAACAAATGGTGAGGTTGCCTGTGCTGCTATTCCTAGCATTGAACAGGGTAATAAGGCACAATTTGTGCAGTACTGGGAGCACCGTTTAGTTCAGAGGAAAGTGTGCTTCCCATTTACCATTATATGCATGTTATGCCTGGTTAAGAAAGATATGAGAGAGAGAGATACACTGGCAGGAGTCCAGCAGTTTCTGAATTCCTGAGAGTTTATGGGCTTTAAACAAACTCTGGCACTTTATTATCAAAGTTAGTTTAAAAGATAATGTTAAAAAAACTTGCCCGATCTACTTCCCTTCTCCCACAGTACAGCACATAGACGCAGGGGGAAGGAGGAGCACTGGCTGTTGCCATAGCATCCAGGATCTGTTACTAGTACATGTGCAATCTAAGTGCCAGTCTGTATGATGGTGTCAGCAACTGAAATGACAGGAAACCATCTCTGGCATTCCGGATGTTTGAGGAGAAGATTTGAATTAACATTGCATTAAAATAAATAATAAAGAGTCCTATGATGCATACCGACGAAATGTGTATTAGGCGGTCTGTAAACCTTTTATAAACAACTAGACTTTCTATTCTAACTACAGAAGCCCAGGGAACAAACTTTCCTAAACACTGCAGTAATGGTTGTACAAGCAGCTTGCACAGAGGTAAACTGCATGTCCCTTTGCTGTCACAATACCTAGTAGCAACTTCCTCAGCATTGTCATAAAGCCGAATTGGGAGAGAAATTAGCAAATTAACACACCTTTTAAGCGCATTGTCACTTTTCAGGTTTCTCTTTTAAATTAACCCATTTTTGTCCCTCTGATCAGTGATTTGAAGTGGTCATAGTGCTTGGAGTCTGTATGTAGAGCATTTTTCTATGAAACGATGCCCATACAGAGTTCAATCCCTTTGTTGCCGACGTGTAGCTCCACCTCCGGCAGCGAAGTGGTGCTGTTATGCTTGGAGTCAGCTGTTAAGCAAAGTTCTATTTCAACTGCCAAAGTAACTTACCACAATCCATTGGTCAAAAGCACCCCATGTAAGGGCAAACTGCAGCTATCCTGAACAGAGGACGACAAAATGGAGGTGCACTGATACAGTGTAAGGAAGAAAAATATAAATGGAGATACAAGGGGCCTATGGAAATGAGAACCAAAAGAATAGGAAAAGGCAGTTCCTCTTTAAAAGAACTCTAGACACACAGTGCTTTGTGTGTCTGGAGTCTGTCATATTTGTGACAGTTTATCAAAGTTTCAGTAGAAATCACCCCTTTTCTAGAACTTTTGTTAAAAACACCTTCTCCGTTGTCAGACAGCCAGGGAGGATTTATTTCGCTCTCATTAGCTGCACGAATATAACAGAAGCGTCTGTCCCACTAGTCTAGTGCACACTTGCCTTCCCCCTTCTCAATAAACTGTACTACACCTCATTGAGAAGCATTGGAAATCTGTCTGCACACAGCTCCAACACAGGCTTCTCAAGACTTCCCAAAGAATGAGGAAAGGCTGCAAAAAAAAAAAAAAAAATACATGCATGGTTACTTTGGGGGACATTGCTACATCACAAAATGTTTTGTTTTGTTTTTTAAGCAAAAGAGGCATGGTCTTGTCTCTCCATTAAGCCCTATTATAATCCAAATATATTATTTAATCCTTATGTCCTCCAGGAAGAAGTCATGGTCCTAGAGAGGATTCTTCTTCAGACAATCAAATTTGACTTGCAGGTGGAGCACCCCTACCAGTTCCTCCTGAGATATGCTAAGCAGCTGAAAGGTGGGTGCACCAACTGGACTGTAAATATACACATTTGTTGTATTGTACACCACTTAGCAATCTTAACTTTGTTAATCTTTTCCAGGTGACAAGAACAAAATACAGAAGTTGGTGCAAATGGCGTGGACCTTTGTTAATGACAGGTTAGTTTAATATAAAATAAGGCTGTGTGCTGGACCCTGGAGGAATAATTCTAGGAATAGAATGCGCTTAACTCCAGAAGAACCAACATTAGCGCCAAATGCAAGCATAGTGTTGCCATGGGTTCATACAACTGTAATTTCCCTCTTACTTGTCAAGCCTTTTCTTTCATCCCTCTATTGTCAAGATTACCCTGTTATTATTCCCAAACTATGGCCCCCTATAGCTGTCTGTGGATCTGCCAGCAGGGGAACTGTCTGAAATGTGTGTGTATTTCTACATGTATGCTTAAGTAATATTTTAACATAATTATGTGATTTCATTAATTTAAAATTTGATTGACGTGCCTGACAACCCAGGCAGCAAGTGCACAGAATTTAAATTCGCACGAGCTATATTTAACCCTGTAACTTTCCAAGACTCCATAAAACCTGTAAATGCGGGGTACTGTTTTACTCGGGAGACTTCTCTGAACACAAATATTAGTGTTTCAAAATGACAAATTGTATTACAACTATGATATATTTAGTAAAAGTGACTATTTCTGCATTTTTCACACACCCGAACAGCACTTTTACGGACGATAATATTGTAATGTTTTACTGTTTTTGGTTTGTGCTCAGTGAAGTCTGCAAAGTATAACAGTACCCCCTATGTACAGGTTTTATGGTGTTTTGGAAAGTTAGAGAGTCAAATAGGCTTGCATTTCATTTTTTTTTCACAAATTACGTTGCATTTGAGACCGTATGGTAGCCCAGGAATAAGAATTACCCCCATGATGGCATACAATTTTAAAAAGTAGACAACTCAAGGTATTGCAAATGGGGTGTGTCCAGTCATTTTTAGTAGCCACTTAGTCACAAACACTGGCCAAATATATATATATTTATTTATTTATTTTTAAACACAAACAAATATGAACCCTAACTTTGGCCAGTGTTTGTGACTAAGTGGCTACTATAAAAGACTGGACATACCCCACTTGCAATACCTTGGGTTGTCTACTTTTGCAAATGGTATGCCATTGTGGGGGTAAATCTCATTCCTGGGTTACCACACTGTCTCAAAGGCAACATATAACCAACCTGGCGAATTTCAATTTGAAAAAACTGAAAAATGCAATGTGCCATATTTGACCCTTTAAATTTCCAAAACACTGTAAAACTGTTAATGGGGGGTACTGTTGTACTTGTGAAACTTTGCTGAATCCAAATATGTGTTTTTTGGGTTTTTTTGCAGTTAAAGCTAACGGCATTATGACATTTACAGCTAAAATGTCCACAAATTTGTTTTTAAATCTTAATTTCTCAGTTTTTATTTTATTCATCATAAATTGTTTCAAATATGAATAGTTCATGAGAAATTAAAGCCCACTTTCTTCTGAACAAAATGAGATGTGTGTGTGTCTATATATGTATGTGTGAAAATGTATTCATACTTACCGTAATTTTCTTTTCCTGGTAATAGGCCATGGCAGCACAAGATTGGGTAGCTCCTCCCTATCCCCATTGGACAGGAATAATAATTAAGCCGTATAAGTACCACCTCCTACCCCTCCTTCCCCAGTCATGTTTTACAGCAATGGCCCCGGGTGGGACCCTTGTGCTGCCATGGCCTATGACCAGGAAAAGAAAATTACGGTAAGTATGAATAAATTTTCCATTTTCCTGGCCATATCCATGGCAGCACAACATTGGGTAATACCCAAGCAATAAACCAGGGAGGGAAGAAGACACAGACTCGAAAATTTGAATGCACAGTGTATTAACATCATTAACAAGTGATAAACAAAGAAATCGTGTATCGGATACAGACAGAACTGATTTAGCAAATTGATCTGATAGACCTGCTCTGACATAAATTTGATAACTTCTAATGAAGGTATTGGTGGAAGACCATGTGGCCGCCTTACAAATGAGTTCAGGAATTAGCCGCGGCTGCCCAGGAAGATGAGAGGGCCCTAGTGGAATGGGCTTTAAGACCCACAGGGACCGGATATCCAGAAGATTGATAAGCCAGTATAATGGCTGCCACTATCCACCTGCTAATGGTAGATTTAGGGGCTTGTAAGCCTTTTTTTACTACCGCTATGAAGGACCAAGAGACTTTGAGAAGTGCGCCAAGCAGCAGATCTTTCAATATATATATGAAGGCATCTCACTAGGTCCAGAGATGACAGGTCAGTAGAATTCTTGCTTTCTTGGCATTCAGATGGAAGAACAATATCTTCGTTGATGTGAAAGGCAGAGGTGACTTTAGGTCTAAATTCAGGAACAGTACGGAGGATAACTCTATCCTTGTGAAAGACCGTAAAGGGTTCTTTAATGGATAGGGCGTGGAGCTCCGAAACTCTCCTGCCGGAAGCTAGGGCGATCAGCAAAGCTGTCTTGATAGACAGAACATGTAGAGGAACTGATTCAAGGGGTTCAAAGGGCTCCAATTTTAAGGCGTTCAGAACCAAAGGGAGAATCCAGGAGGGAACAAATGGCTTAATTGGAGATTTAATTTTAAGGACTCCTTTAATGAATCTAATAACATCCGAGTCCAATGCCCATCTATGATTGGTTAAGGCGGACAAAGCTGAGACGTGTACTTTTAGAGTATTATAACTCAGACCTTTAGAAGGTCCAGACTGCAGGAACTCCAAAATATCCGTGGAAGAGGGATTCTGCTGATCAATGTTTTTAGGAAGAGCCCAGGCGGAAAAAATTTCCCACACCCTATAATAGGTGGCTGAAGTGGAATGCTTACCTGCCTTCAGCATAGTTTCTATTACGCCCTGGGAGAATCCTTTGTTCACAAGCCTGTTTCTTTCAGTCTCCATGCCATGAGCTTGAGTGAGACCGGATTTGGATGCAACACTAGACCCTGGAACAGTAGATCCGGAGTTCTGGGGAGTGGGAGAGGAGGTTCCACTGAAAGACTTTGTAGCAGGGGAAACAAAGGCCTTCGAGGCCAATAGGGCGCTATCAGGATGACAGATACCCGCTCTGTTCTAATCCTCCTCAGGATTGGGAAGATCAGTGGAAATGGAGGGAACGCATACCCTATTTTGAATCTCCAGGGACTGGATAAAGCGTCGCTTCCCAGTGCCAGACGGTCTTCCTCTTTCGTGAAGTAGTCCTTCACCTTCCTGTTGACACTAGTAGCTAGTAGGTCTATTTGAGGGAGACCCGACTTGTCTACAATCGTGCGGAATACTCTGTCAGGCACCATTCTCCTGGGTCTATCCTGGATCTGCTGAGGAAATCTGCCAATTGATTCCGTTTCCCTGGTAGATGGATGGCTGTAAGGCCTGCAAACTTCCTCTTATCCCACCACATCAGTCATTTCATAATCATCATCTTGCCACTCCTGGTGCCTCCTTGGTGATTGATATAGGATACCATGGTGGTGTTGTCTGTTCTTATCTTGACCCTTGAGATGTACCGAGAAGTGCTTCAGTGCTTTGAGGACTGCCAGAAGTTCTAGCAGATTGGAATGCACATTGTTGGCCATGAAACGCCATTCTTCCTGTGCAAAGTCATGGAGACAAGGGGCGCTCCATCCCCATTGGCTGGCATCTGTTGTCACTGCTATCCATGTGATGTCTCCTAGCGGAAAACACCTGGAAAGGTGTTCTTTGTTCAGCCACCAGATCAGAGAATGGTGTACGGCCCGGGATAACTTGATGGGTTGAAGCAGATTCTTGGAGGAAAAATTGCATCAGGAAATTGGCTTGAAATGGTCTCATCCTCCATTGTGCCCATCTGGTCAGTCCTATCGTGGAGGACATAGATCCGAGGAGGCTCATTACCGCCTTTGCAGGAGCCATACTGGACTTTAACATCTTTCTCAATTGTATCCTGAGTTTCAATATTCTTGCCATTGAAAGTTGGACACTACCCATCAGAGTGTCGAAGTGAGCACCTAAATAAATCATAGATTGAGTTTGGTGGAGGTGGCTCTTCTTGGTGGTGATCCTCCTGAGGATTATTTTCGTTTAGAAGATGTGAGAGTAAAACCCCTGAGCTCTGTTGTCTGCTGGCACGGTTATGATGACCTTCTCTGCTTGTAAGGATAGAATGAAGTTTTGTAGAGCCATACGCTTCTTTGTCCCCTGGCCACCTTGTGAGATGAAAGGACCTGTTGGGAGGATGCTTGAAGAATTCTAGAAGGTATCCTCTCCGAATAATATCCAGCACCCAACTGTCGCTTGTGTATTCTTCCCATACGGGTAAATATTGAAGAAGACAAGCCCCGACCCCTTCGGACTTGGGAATTATATAGTCATAAATTCCTAGGGTTCTTGGAGGAAGAAGCACCTCGTGACTTGCCTCCTCTTCCTCCAGATTGGGCTCCTCTCCCTGGTTGAAATCTGGAATATTCTCTACCAGGCTTGTAAGATTTACGATCTTGAAAGGAATGATACTCTTTTCGGATACTCTTTTAAGGACCCTTTTATATTTCCTCTCTTGAGGTAGAAAGGTGGAGACTCGTGCCTGAGGCTACATAGGACTTGGAAAGCTAGTACTCCATTTTACGATCCATCGGATCCCTGAAGGAACCTGCATCGTCCACAGGTAGGGTGGTATGTTTGGCTAACCTGACAACTGCAGCATCAACCTTGGGTGCAAAATCCCATGCCTCAGCATCTTTGGGCTCGAATGGGTATAACCTGGAGAATTTTTTCCTTTGGCAGATGATCTATCAGATCTGGACCATTCCTCCTTAATAAGATCACTGATTGTGTCATGCACCGGGAAATCAGTTTTTTTTTTTTTTCTCCTAAGTTCAGAGAAATAGCGATTTTTAGATGTAGAGGGTTCCTTTAAAGTGAGGGTTTCTCTAACCCGGGCAATGAAATGATCCACTTCCGCTGGTACCAGGAAGTCTGGATCTGGCATAGCATCCTCCTCCGAGGAAAAAGCTAGGTCTCTCAGCGAGAGCTGAATCCATAAACTCATCTTCTGAGTTTCCTGGAGAAAAATCTGAGGGCTCAGAATATCTAGGTCGCTTGTGGGTCTTTTCAACCTCTGATTCCCTGGGCAACTGCATGCTTTATAAGTTGCATAATGTCTGGTGTTGGATGAGAAGGTCCTGCAGCTGCTGAGAGACAATCTGAACAGAGACGTTTCCCTTCTATGGCTCTGTTGTCACAGGATATGCATAGCGTCCTTTTGGGCGACTTCCCTTTGGACGATCCTAAAGTCTTTGTCCTTTTAGCACTACAATACACAAGATGTGCTTTTGAGTACATTCCCACTTTTTTTTTTATTTTTTTATTATAAATTTATTTTTAGAAAAAGATGGCTTTACCTATATTGCTTGGATTGGGACCTATTATGAGATGAATCAGATTCCATGGATCTTGAACAAGAATCCATCTGGAAATAATTGATGGAACAGATGAACTTAAACCAAGAAGAGGTAAGGATAAAAAAAAGGAAATAATGTGGAAAAAACTTACTTTTGTCCCAGAAAAGAAAGGAACCTGGAAAAGGTGAAGAACCTACAGGTCCGTCAAAGCTCTATGGTACAAGAATACTTCTTCTGTATGGAATAATCAGCTTTGTAAGAAAAATGTGGTTTGGCGCTTTAAAAAGGCGTCTGACGTCACTGCGCATGCGCAAAGAACCAAAAAACCGCGCAAACGGCTTAAAATGGTTTAATTTATACGAACGGTTTTAGCATGCGGGCGCCCGGGAAACTCACGAACGCCGCGCGGGCACCCTGAGGACTCTGCAGCCAGAAAGATGGGAAAGCAAACAACTTACCGGCTAAATGCTCCTGGCGGTAAGTTTAAATCCATATCAGCCTCATACATCATTTCTAGTGGGAAGATTCTAAACACATAACCAGTTCAATAAGTAATGTAATTGGTCCTTTACTTGCTACCCCTGAGGTCATTGCAAGATAGTGGAAAGGAAAAACTCCCGGTCACTAAAGGGGGTTTTCTCCAGGGGGCACCTTTGCGCAGGGCTGTATACTGGAGACTTCCCAGGGGAGAGAGGGTGAACTCCCCAGGGGCTGGAGGAACTAATCCTCAGGTAAGCCATGAAACGGTTCACCTGGCACCCCGACTGGGTACCTCCGTTAAAGGATGCTCCTAGCACTTCCTGAGGACTCCAAGCACTGCAGCAGACACCAAAACCACCGAACCGTAGGAGCATATGAATGCTCTCAAGCATATGAATGCTATAAACAGCTGAATAGGCAAAAACCATACGGATGGGTTTAGACTCCTAGCAGTCAAACTGGAACAGCATACAATAAATCCTTCCCCCAATAATGAGACGACACTTCACTTTGAGGGTTAAAACAGGAACTCTCTGTAATGGCCACACACTGGCTTTTGTGCAAGTCCCCATGCAAGGGGACATCCCACAGGGTGGGGCACAGTACAACCAATCGTTACAGGGGAACCATAAAACACACCCACATTTACATCACAATCCCTCCTCTCTGTCCAGGAGATAACTGTGAAGTAATCCAATTATCTCCCAGGACAGAGGCAAGACTGCATTAACCACATGGCAGTAACAATACAATAAAAGACATAAAATTACATACAGTTACATTTATTCCATAAAACATAGACATTCTACATATCCCCAGATAGCTTAGATCTGAGTGCACATTACTACCGAATGGCGCTCAGATCACATACAGTTCAATCGCCATGGAGCCAAAGTTTTTCATACAGTCTTTCAGTATACGGCTGGGCTCCATGGCATAGCTATCTGGGGTAGCATGGCTTTAACAGTCTACAGAAAGGCATGAATACGCTTTGCAGGGAAAATAAAAGGTTTTAACTGCCGGGCCATAGTCTAAAGGGAGCAGGCGAGCAACCAGGCTCCTCCAGTGTACAGTGGCGAGGCTGGTTTCGCCACAAGCCATAAAAGAAAATTTCACGGTCCTAAAGACCAACATGTCCTAGGGATAGGACAGGGAAAAAAAGACTGGGGAAGGAGGGGTAGGAGGTGGTACTTATACGGCTTAATTATTATTCCTGTCCAATGGGGATAGGGAGGAGCTACCCAATGTTGTGCTGCCATGGATATTGCCAGAAAATAAATAAAAAAAATTATATTATATATATATATATATATATATATATATATATATATATATATATAATAATATGGTTGCACTTAATATGAAAGAGGTGAATTACGGTTGAATAGACATATATAGCGCAAATACCAGTTTTTGTTTACACTTTGTTTTGATCAGAACGTGTAGTCTATTGACTCTGTCCTGAAGGGGTTAATATAGTCTGTCCTGAAACTGTTGTTTCAGAGAAAAGGCAGTGTTTACATTACAGCCTAGGAACCCTTCTAGTGGCCACTCCTCAGACTGCTGCTAGAGGTGCTTCCTAGGTCACTACTGCACAGTGCTGACTAGGCCTGGTTACGAGTTGGCGTCCCTTAATTCTATAGTGCTCCTGCATCATTACACTGTTTGTATAGGCAAGTGAATAGGAAAGCTGTAATACACTCTGGATGCCTAGAATGGTCCTTTAAGGAGTGAACAGGGGTGGGTGTTATAATAGTTTATCACTCAGTCCAGTGGAATAGTAACACTTTAATGGAGGTAAGTAATTTAACTCTCGGTTAATCATCATTGCATTATAAAAATGTTATCTATATGGTAAATATTAAGGGCGTTTGGTTTCAGCTCAAGTGAACCTATCATGAGATTACAGATGTTTGGTTTTCACTTTTATCTGAAAGTGCAGTAAGCTTTGCTATATTTTTTTTCTTTTCTTTTTATTCCCACCACTTCTACTATATCTTCCATAGTTGAGAAATTACAGTGTACAAGCATGTCTTTGTGTGTCAATTCATCCAATGCTGATACTATAAAAATTTAATAAATGTTTGTAATTTAATGAGCCTCTTTCTGACTAAGCCTCTCACCTCCCTGGTAGCTTGTGCACCACCCTGTCTCTGCAGTGGGAGCCTGAGATTATAGCTGTGGCTGTCATGTACCTGGCTGGACGCTTGTGCAAGTTTGAAATTCAGGAGTGGACCTCAAAGCCTATGTACAGAAGGTGGTGGGAACAGTTTGTCCAGGATGTTCCTGTTGATGTACTTGAAGGTAAATTGCATATTCCACTTCACTTGAAGTAAGGAGGAAGCCTCATAATGACAATGGTGAGCCTAGAGTACTCATGAGCTTCTGTGCAAAGGACATGAGGGCACCAGTTTAGATTTCACTTTGGGAAAATGGTTATTTACAGTAAGAATTAAAATGTGGATTTCTGTTCCTGAAATTTTTTTTTATTTTTTTTTTAAATACAATTAAAAGACCACTCTAGGCACCCAGACCACTTCAACTTAATGAAGTGGTCTGGGTGCCAGGTCCAGCTAGGGTTAACCCATTTTTTTTTTTATAAACATAGCAGTTTCAGAGAAACTGCTATGTTTATGTTAGGGTTAATCCAGCCTTCAAATCCTCTAGTGGCTGTCTCATTGACAGCCGCTAGAGGCGCTTGCGTGATTCTCACTGTGAAAATCACAGTGAGAACACGCAAGCGTCCATAGGAAAGCATTGTAAATGCTTTCCTATGAGACTGGCTGAATGCACGCGCAGCTCCTGCTGCGCGTGCGCATTTTGCCGAAGGGGAGAAGGAGAGCTCCCCGCCCGGCGCTGGAAAAAAGGTACGTTTTAACCCTTTCATCTCCCCAGAGCCGGGCGGGAGGGGGCACCCTCAGGGCACTATAGTGGTCCTTTAAGTACAGGTTTTCCTAAAAGTACAATCTAGATCAGGCTTCTCCCTCCCCCCCACCCCCAGATGTTGCTAAACTACAACTCCCATGATTCTATGAATGAAATAAGCGGAGAATCATGGGAGTTGCAGTTCAGCAACATCTGGAGGGCCGGATTTTGGGGAAGCCTGCTGTAGATGCTATAATCACTTCATCTCATTGGAAACTGCTTACGTTGCCTGGAATTTGCTGGCCCCATAAGTTTTTTGCACAGTTAGCAAAGTAATTAGCAGCGAATGAGTCACTAGCCACCTGTAGAACATCCCTAATGATTTTTTTTTATTTTATTTTTTTAAATGTTTAAAAAATAAAAAGTGCAATATTGACTGGAGTAGTGGTATCGAGGGATTCCAGACACTATAACCATTCATTGAGATGAAGTGTCTAGAGTGCCTTATTTCAAATGTGCAGGTTTTTTTTTGTAAATAGAATATTCAAGTATATCCTATATGTGGGGTTACAACTTTTTGAACCAAACCAAAAAAGTATTACTGGCACAATACCCAAACAAGGAAATTGATATGGTGAAATGTGACACCTCAAGTGTGTACAAACATATGAAACTACAAGCATACCTCTGAATGGATCAAATTCTCACAAGTAGCATGTAAGAAGAGAACACTAAACTTTTCATTTCTTTTGTGTGATTAAATAAAACGCTATATTTGCATTTTACAAACCGGTGGAAATTCACATATAAAGTTACCCAAATAAAAAGGTCTAAAATCGCTTTGTCCTTTAGGGGCCACTTGTCTCCTGAACCTGGTCCAGAAGAATTGTCTTGAACCTGAGACTTCTAAGTAGAAAGGACTAGATAATATGTTGGAGCAAGTCTAAGCATGGCGTTCTTTGTGTCTATCCAATATAATGTGTGGTAAAGGGATAAGCAAAGTTCACTTGACGTGTTTTTGTCTATGAAGACTCTAAGAGCTCTTGCAGTTGGTCTGTGATGCAATTTGTGTTCCCCATACAGCATGTTTCAGTGTTTGGGTTTTTGTTTTTTTAAACACTATTTCAGACGTGCTCAGTAGGTGCCATTGGTTGGGTGTTTAATCCAAGCAGCATTCTGCCAGGTGTAGCGGTGAGGCAGTAATATACTTGCATTACTCGTGGTGACACGGTCAAAAGGGCCTTGTTCAAAACAAAATTTTTGATTTTTTTTTTTTCAGTATGACATTAAAAACTTCTTACATGGTGGCGCAATCAAAGTGTGTCATTGTGATATTAGTATAGCACATACATTTAACTGAACATGAAGCTGTTAAAAAGATAGAAATTGAGTTCAGTTGAATACGCACGCTCATTAAAAATTTTTTTTTTATTTTTTTTTTTTTAGACATATGTCACCAAATTCTTGACCTGTACTCACAAGGCAAACAGCAAATGCCACACCATGGAGCCCAGCAGACCTCTCCACAGGTCCAGGCACAGATTGCCTCTGTGCAGCCTCAGCCATCACAAAATACAGACTCTCCGGCAACTCAACAGAAAGATGTGACACAGACCGCAACGCCGCAACCCAAGAAGCCTTCTCCTCAATCAAGCCCTCCCAAATCAGCCAAAAGACCCCTGGTGGGTTTTGATTGTTCCATTTGGTTTTATTAAAGTAATTCTGAGTCTGTCACTGCAGGTTTCCAACACTGCATAGATGGTACTTCTAGGCTCTGGCTTTTTTTTTCTGACTAATAAATGTTTGCAGTGATATTTGGTATAGCATGGTGCAAGGTGAGCTTGCTGGAGCTTTTTCACTTTGCAAGAAAAGCCTTTAATACGTTTTGAAAATTACTCTTGTGTGTCCGGGTATATTTTTTTTAAATTTTCAGAGCACGCATATCTATTTTTTATTTGCTAACACACAAAAACTTGTCTCCCCATTAATATGAACATATGCATTGAAAAACTATCAGTTTTTGCAATTAGCTGGCCACCTTCTCATTTTAGAGCCTTCTATGTTTAGGCTGTCAAGGAGGCAAAGTGAAAAGTGACATTCAGCATTTGAGTTGCTTATAGTCTGTGTTTAGACTCAATGTAACAGGCTGAGCTTGTGATCTCTTGCACAATGCAGACTGAAAGAGTAACTCGTTTTGTAAGTTTGAGCTTTATTAAATTTGAGACCTTGGGAAACAGTTTAACAGTGATCACTCTTACATTGATCAAATCCTGCTGCTGGAAACTGCTGCAATTATTTCTTTAGCCCCCATGTTTCTAACATTTGAAATCTGACTGACAAAAAAGTAAAGCAGAATACCGCAAAGCTATGACTATAGTGGATTTGGAGAATGTTTCCAAATCTGCTATTTTAGCCTCTGTTCTGTATTCATTCTGCTACTATTTAGAGATTTGTGATTGTCCTCCTGCAACAGTTGCTGTAAGCTGGGCGTAGGCAACCTTAACACTCCAGATGTTGTGAGCTATATTTCCCCTGATGCTTTACTAGCATTATGGCTTTTAGAGCATTATGGGAGATGTAGTTCACAACATCTGGAGTGCCGATGGTTTCCTGCCCTAAGCAAACACTAGCCGTGCTTGACAGAGTTTAGTAACAATGGCACAAACAGAGTTAATCACTAATGCATTAATTGATGGGAATTAAAATTGTTAGGCCAAATTGTAAACTTTATACTTGAAATGCACTTTAAATTCCCAGCAGTTCACACTTTGAATAACCCCATTTGGGTCACCAATAAGGAGGCTTACAGTGATACCTGTGCTCTGATTATTCTTGGAAGTGCAAGCATCACCATAGTGATTGTCCTCACTCTTTTGAGAGCACTGTTCAAGGTCTGAATTGTGTCCATTCTAACTGGGAGTTGTGGTGACCAGTTGGAAGGGATGCTGATGTTACATTTAGAGCACCAGTACTTATGCACTGATGGTCTCCACACTTCTTTGAGGGTGATCCTGTTTCGTTTGTTTAGTTCATGTGCTGCTATAAGTGGCAGCAGGGACATCACTCTCTCTGCAAAGCATTATCAGATCTATGGCAAAAAAAAGCAATTGTGCAGCATTTGCGGGTGGATCTGCCTCTCTGTATCTGCCTATCTGTATCTGCATCCAAACCATGCCGGCAGTTACGTTTCTTACATTGTAACTATAATGTGATTTTTCCACATTCTTCCTGATAAAGCACATGCACACATTAAATTAACCAAGGGTTTTGCTTATTATGGGAGAGATTGGCTGCTTTAGGAAATTAACTTGGGAAACAATTTTAATCCCATGGCTAACCTGTCCACGTAATCTGTGACTTTTTTGTGTTACTTGCCATACAAGTGTCACTACATCATATCTGTTTTTGTATTTCAGCCGTCTTCTCCAAAAGAAGAGGTGAAGACAATTGGTAAGTACATTTTGTTAAAATAGGTTAAACACTGCATTGCATTTTTTAAAACTATTTAGTAGATACACCCCAAAAAACTACTAGGGGCATCTAAGAGTGTTGATGGCAGGAATTACAGTTAAAGGGACACTATAGGCACCCAGACCAATTCAGCTCATTGAAGTGGGTCTGGGTGCATGAGCCCTTAACCCTGAAAAGGTAATTATTACAGTTTTAAATAAACTGATTATTACCTTTTGAGAATAACTCCATCTCTAGTGGCTGTCTAGAGGGACTTTTGGTCGCCTAACTGACGCTGGACGTCTTCATGCTATGCATTGGGACATCCATAGTCACCCAAAACCCTATGAAAGCATTATACAAGCTTTCCTATGGGGAAAATCACCAATGCCAACACGGCAATTGCCACACATGCACATTAGGTCTCCTTTGCTGCCTGATGTTGGCTGGGGAGAGGCAGAGGCGGAACTCAAACCAGCGCCAAGTGACATTGCGCTGGATTTAGGTAAATGTCAGAGGGCTTGTGGGTTTTATTTCCCAAAAAATACAACCAATATTTCTCACCTTGTTTGTGGTGCTGATACCATTGTTGCAGCCACCCACTTTCCTGTCTGCTTCATCAGCAAGCATGCTGGCATCTTCTCATCCAATCTTCTGTATAAGAAGCATTGGAGATGAGAAGTGCACGCAGAGTAAAACACCACGGAAGCCCACAACTAGAGATATGTATAGAGCGTCAATGAAAACATTGCCATCTCTACATTACATTGCAGAACTAAAACTATCGGAACACTACACACAGACAACTTAATCTCAATGAAGTGGTCTGAATGCCTATAGTAGTACTTTGTACTAATCAACATAGGACAGTTGTACCCTGTTTCCTCAAAAATAAGCCCTAGCTTATTTTTTTCAGGGGATGGTCACAATATAGTCCCTAGTTCACTAATCTATGTTCGGGGAAAATTCCCCTAACAGATTCCTGGGTTTCTATTTGTGAGTAAGCTAATCTATGTTCAGGAAAGTTTCCCCGAACATAGAACAATTCTCTAGGGCATGGAATTCCGTGAATCTATGTTCGGGGGAAATTCCCCTGAATGTAGACCTGCTTTCTAGCACATGCTTGCAACAGTTTCCCCAAAAAATAAGCCCTAGTATGTTTTTCGGGGAAAGGGGATGTGGGGATTTGTATAAGATTTATTTTCAGGGGAAGGACGTTAGTTAAATAGCACAACCGTTCTGCTGCCCTTGCTCTTCATGAATGCTAAAGTGGGATTGACCATGAAGTGGTTTAAGGAACACGATAGGGTCAGGAATACAAACAAGTATTTCTCACCCTATCAGCATCTCCTCCTAGAGATGCATTGAAATGGTGCCTCTAGCAGGGCTGCCACCAGAAATTTTGGGGCCCCTAACTGAGCTCAGGGTCTGGGCCTCCAAAACTGCCCACAGAGACCGCCTCCAAATCCTGCCCACAGGAATACACACACACAGAGACACACATTAACTGATACAAGAGGACACAGATACACACATACTGAAACGCATATAGGCATACACACATATAGACACACACATGCATAAGGACATACAGACACATTCATAATGACAGATCCAGACAGACCTACCTACCTCATTTTCCAGCTGCCCTCCTGTCTCTTACCTTTTCTTTGCAGGAGGGTGGCTGGGGCTGATGGGACTGGGAGTCGGCTGGCTCTCCCTCTTCACTGCCGGGTGAGGGGGGAGGAAGTGACCACTTCCTCCAAGCAGCACTTGCCTGCGGCAGCATTTATTATTTTTTTTTAAAGGAGCCCAGTCGCGCTATACCACGGCTGCAGCCCTGACTGGGCCCCTGCAGATAAAGGGCCCATAGTGCGTGGGCCACCCGATGGGCCTCATCAGCATGCGGGCGCCGGTGCAACTGTACAATTCTGCCGCTACACGTGGGGCCCGGGCTGCCCAGGCCCGTGACAACCATTATGGTTGTCACCCCCTGATGGCAGCCCTGGCCTCTAGTATCACTTGAATCAATGCATCTATATATGGAGGCACTGAACATTCTCCATAAAGTTCCGTGTAAACACTGCCTTTTTATTTAAATAGACAACTGTATACATGAAAATGCCTGCAAGGGACAGGCTATAGCCTCCAAAACAACTACATTAAGCTGTAGTTGTTCTGGTGATTTATATGACAAGTTTATGTGAAGGCTCCTCTTGTATACTGCTGTAAGAGTTCTGTTTTGAGGAAAAGTAAACTTCCTTCTGTATATTTCAATCTTCAGAACAACCATCCAAACTGCCAAAGATGGACCCTTCTCATCCACCCTTACCCCCAGTCCCACCCCCACCAGGTGAGTGAGTTTAAAAGAAATAATTATAATTGGCATATCATTAGTTAATTGCTGACTGCTAAGATTAATTCCAAGCAATTTTTTGATGCAATTTTCTTTTCAGAGAGAAAGCCTCTGGTTCCACCAATTGCTGCTAGTGATGGGGAGACAAGTGTTTCAGAGTCTACTGATTTGACAAAGATCCAGATTCCTCCTCCTGCACATCCTGCTCCTGTCCATCAACCTCCTCCGTTACCGCATCGGCCTCCACCTCCTTCCAGCTATATAACTGGGATGTCTACCACCAATTCATACATGTCTGGAGAAGGGTTTCAGAGTTTACAGTCCATGATGAAGACTGAAGGGCCATCCTATGGGAACTTGCCACCAGCCTATGGTCCTCCAGCTCATATTCCTTATCATCCTCATGTTTATCCACCAAATCCCCCACCCTCAGTTCCCCCACCGCCTTCAACATTCCCCCCACCAAACATCCCACCACCTGCACCTGTATACCCCCCGCCTCCTACTTACAATCCTAACTTCCCGCCTCCACGATTGCCCCCAAGTCACCCTCCTCCAGGTATTGGAATACCACCAAGCACTTACCCTCCTCCAGCAGTGCCACCAGGTGGGCAGCCTCCAGTTCCCCCACCAATCCCACCTCCTGGCATGCCACCAGTCGCTGGATTAGGTCGTGCTGCCTGGATGAGATAGCATGGTTTACTGGATCAATCTGATGAACAAGAATTTGAACTGAAAAGGAGATGATAAACACTGTTTAAAATAATGTTGCAAAGGGTCAGAGTTCATGGTCTTTAAAATCTATAGATTAAGAAGTTCTATACTTTTGAAAGTGGTACACCACAAGTTGTATGTGTAGAAGATCAGAACGCGTTTCAGCTCAGTGGGAATGAAAGTTTAAAAAAAAAAAAAGCTTGTTGGGGACACAGGATGGCATTTGGAGCTGGGTGGGAAGAAACTGTTCCAGAATATTTGGTGGCTGGGGATCAAGCTGGATTTCTGTTATAACAATATGTGCAAAATGTACTGGCATTTGCTATCCTTTCTCTCCCGGGTTAGCTTGGTTTACAACAAAATCCCAATTGATTTCTGCTTTCTATTGAGAACAGGCAAAAGGCCATATTGGCTAAAAGACCTATTTAACATGCTCTGTAATGTTGACAATTTTCATGGCCAGTCATATTTAAAAATAAAAAAAACAAATGTACTGGCCCATTTTTTTTTTTTTTTCTCTAATTGCAGTTTTATTACCGCCTGTATATAATGTTTTTCTAAAATGTAAATTGTCTTAATGTGACACTGGTTGATGTGGAAGGTTGCAAAATCTGAATAAAACCTTTACAAACAGATGAGTGATTGCTTAATATATTTAACAGCAATTTTATTGAATGTACTGTACTCTCAAGCAATTACTGGCGCCCAAATCATCTCAATGTCTGTTTTCTCTGCTCTGCATAGTGGCGGACAAGTGCCCTGAAAACACCTTGGGTCTTAAATTGAGCACCATAACCACTTCAGTGATTTGAGATAGTCATGGTCCATGAAGTCTGTATGTCCAGGGTTTTGCTATGCTGTGCTGCATATACAGAGTTTAACCCACTTAGCTGCTGGAGGTGGAACTCTACCTCTGGCGGCATCATTTGGTCGTGATTAAGCAGCCTGAAATAAGATTTCCAGACTGACTGTCAGTTCTGTGCATATTCCTATGCACAGAATTGTACTACATTTTCTGGCTCTCAGCCAATGAATGGCCAGTAGCATTGGCTTCTGCAGCTGTGTAGAGGCTGGAGACACATCACTGGTTACTGAAGGACCAGATTAGAGTTGAAAACCATTGTGAAATGGGGACAGGGCACTGCAGACGACATAACCAAGATGCTTGGAGTAACCCTAAGACTGCAACATTAAGATGAAGTTGTTTTGAGAGATGAGGGTAAAGTGAATTTCCCCACACACACACAATACACCTTTTGTGTGTCTATTCAAGGTTCTTTGCTCCCCAAAACTATTTCTTGTATTGTCAAAGTGAAGTCTATTAACATTGGCCTCAGGAGAGCATGGACAAACTTGTGGATAGTGGCCTTCTCTTACTGCACCCTCCATTTTGATCATTTTAATGGATGAGTTTAGGGTTCCTTCACTAGAAACAAGGACCATTCCTGTAGTAGGCCCCAGCTCATTTCTGTAATTGACATACTTCTAGCTGTACCACTTATACCATGACAAGATCCAAGGGCAAAGCTGGTTGATGAATTTTAACTTTTATAAGTTAATTATGAGAATTTTGGCATTACGTTCATCATAATCAAACATTTGGAGTGGATTTTGCTCTGTGGAGCCTCAGCCAAACAACGAACACTGAAATAATTGTCTCACGCAGACTGCACATTAAAGGATCAGTTAAGTATCAAAACTACTTAAGTTTAATGAAGTTGTTTAGGTGCATAAAATATACTAATGCAATCTCAATTCTTTGCTATGTAGGAAGTCAAATTTTTTTTTTACTGCAGAGATAATCAAACCTTTCCTGACTGTTCATTACACAAACTTCCTACAGTCTCGCTGAAAATTAAAATATCAAAGGACTCCTCTCCTTGCTAGTAGCTGTGAAGCTCTGTTAAAGAAACAATATGGCATTAGGAATGCATACCTGTTATTCATAATGCTATAGTGGCCTAGTCTATGGTTGGTTGTAAGTGTAGCATGGCAACCTTCCCCACGTGGGGATTGGCTAAAACCATCAGGACTGATGATAGCAGCCGGGAAGGCTATGCATGCTGCAGAAGTAAAAGTGGTAAAGGGTTTTTGTTTTTTATAGCTTCTAAAATATATAGGGCAATAGTCTTTAAACTTTTATCTACGTGGTCATAATATGTAATACATTTGATTGGGCAACACTAACAAAAATGTTTTCGCTGGACAAAAAGAGGGGGGTTAAACTTTGGGTTTTAAACAAATAACCTAACGAACTTACTGGTACGCAATTCCGCACCACTGAGAAACATATGCTAAAACTTAAACAGTTACACTATCAACAGGGTAATAAAGTGGGTAAGCTGTTGGCCTCAAAACTGAAACAAAAATACACCCAGATCAAAATCACCTCCATTACTAATTCAGAGGGGGTGAAGCTGACAAACCCATCTAGCATGCTAGACGAATTTGCTGATTATTATGACCACCTCTACAACCTGAAGAGGAACAACAAGGTGGCCCAGCCGACACAGACTGACATACAAACATTTCTAAGTACAACACACCCGCAGATCACCCACCCAGTGGCGAAATATTTAGATGCTCCCTTTACCCAAGAAGAGATCCATAGAGCAATAATGACTATACCAAAGCACCAGGGCCTGATGGATATTCCAATTTCTATTACATTACATTAGCAGATCTATTCAATGACATTATGTCAACAGGCAATATACCTTCAGAAATGCTTGAAGCAAATAGAACACCGGGCAAACCGCCCAATAAATGTGAAATTTTTTTACCAATCTTCCTGCTAAATGCAGACACAAAATTATTTGCCAAAGTCATAGCTAATTGCTTAATATCATGGCTGACTTCCCTGGTGTCTCGAGAACAAGCTGGTTTTGTCCCGGGCAGACAGGCGGGAGCTAATACCACATGGTTTCTGGATCTCCTTTAGATGGTGAAACGGGAAAGAAGTTTGGGGCTTTTGTTGGCGCTAGACTCCGAAAAGGCCTTCGACTGCATACATTGGGGGTACATGACATCAGTGCTTAAAATATTCGGTTTCCCAACAAACTTTTCTAAAAGCAATTCTGGCCCTATACACGACATCTTCAGCTAAAAGCCTCATACGGACTTTCTGTTTAAAAATTTTTCCTAACCAATGGCACATGCTAGGGGTGTCCCTTATCACCCCTATTATTTTTCCTTGCACTAGAACCATTGGTTAACCACATCTAATTCCACGACAAGATACTGGGGTTGCCCACACCACGGGAAGAAAAATTAGCACTATTTGCGGATTATTTCCTACTTATACTAACTCACCCAAAAGACTCCCTGATGCATCTGTTGAATACATATGGCTCGGTGTCATATTACAAAAATAGTATCAGCAAAACACAAGCACTCCCGATCAATCTGTCAAAATTTGCCAAACACTCCCTGTTTAAACAGTTCCCTTTCGACTGGAGTTACAAAATTTTTGCGTACCTGGGAATACACCTTGCAATCACTCAACATAAATTAATCCAATTTAATCACGCAAAACTAATAACTAACCTATGACAGACGAAACGATCCTCGAAACAAAATGATTTCATGACGCGGCTGGGTCAGCTCAATTAAAATGGTGATACTCCCCCAAATGCTGTTCCTATTCCGAACCTTCCCGGTAGAAATTCATCAAACTATACTTGAGTTTTCAAAGAGTAATATATGCACATGGAAATGTAGACACCCACGCATAGCAGCCGCAACACTACAATTCATACTTCAAGAATGCAGCCTGGGAGTCCCAGACGTCAACAAATACTACCTGGCCACTATCCTAGCACAAATAGGCGAACTTCACTGTAAAACAGAATATCCTTTGTGGTACACATTGGAAAACTCATTAGTGACCCCACACTCTATACTCAACCTGCTATTGCTCCCACCACACCTCCAACCTCTACATATAAAGCCACTGTCGACCACTTCATTTTCACTACAGATATGGCAGAAATAGGCAAGGATGTGTCTGGCTCCGAATGACCCACTATGGTATGCACCGTTAAAATAAAAAAATAGTTACCTGCGCTCTTTCCACATCCCTATTTGTTTTTAAACAAATGGAGGTTTTTAGTTACCTCCAATGGCCATGAGAAGGTATGCCCACCCTCCACATCAAGGCAGACCTCTTAAGTGGGTCCTAACTCTAAAAATTTGCCTTGCTTCCTTGAGCTTCTGGCAAAAATATCTCAGACAGAAAGGGGTATTTTTTTATATACATCCCTTAAGGGTCAAGCAGGAACAGACATAGCTGTGGGTTTATTGTTCTTATATACACATTCTTACACATTAGTACCACCCACAGGGTTTTGGAAAACAACCAACAAGTACAATACACTCAGACACTCCCACACAAAATCCTCCCCTCTGCCTGTGATACAATTACCTTACACAATGGGTAATGTAATTATCACAAACAGAGAAATACAGTTTTCCCACATTATTCATAACTTTAAAAGTATGCTTCACATTTTCAGAATCAGCATACTCCAAATACAAACATACGTCAAAATCATACAAATTGGTCCAGTGGTTCAAAAGATAGATCGTAGTCCTTTGTGACCAAATGAAGCATGGCTTTTCTACCCAAAATTCAGTTCCACAGAGTCTTCTATCCTGGAGATAATTGGGAAGTAATTCAATTATCTCCGAGGACAGAGGCAAAACTCCATTGAACACATGGCAGCAAAATACAATAAAATACATAAAAATATATAACTGTGCAGCCATTGCATAAAACAGGTATATTCAACATATCCCCATATAGCTCAGATCTGAGCGCACATTATTACTGAATGGCGCTCAGAGCACACACATACAGTTCAATTGCCATGGAGCCAAAGTCTTTCATTATACGAATGGGCTCCATGGCATAGCTATCTGGGGTATCACCGCTCAAACAGGGCAAGCACCGAATGACCCGGCTTTCCTGTCTTCGCAGGGGAAAATCAAGCGTTTCAACATGGGGCCATAGTCTAAAGGCAGCAGGCGGGCAACCAGACTCCTCCAATGCACAGTGGCGAGATTGGTCTTGTCACACTTATTAACCCTTAATAGGGAACACATGGGATGGACAGCAGCATTGCAACCTAGCTGTGTGATACAAAAGTGAATACAAATACAAAGAAACAAGTCCTGCGATCTATTAGGGATCGATTAGTCACATGTTTTGGTACTGTAAGATACTTCACCCTTTTTGGCACAGGTTAAAGACATGATCACTACTATGACAGGACAAGATCTACCACTACAGATAGAATCTTACATCTTGCATATATTACCAAAAGTAGTAAATAAAGCAGAAAGAACAGCAATCATACATATATTGATAGCTAGAAAAAGCAACATAGCATGCTTTTGGAAAAACAAGCAAGCACCCCCACTGTCCATGGTCCTGGAGAGACTTGATAAGACCAGGGTATATAAGGAAATGGTGCACAGACTGACCAATACAACCCACATTTTGATCAAATATGGACAAAGTGGAAATCAATTATGGAAGCTTATGGGGAGGTGGTTGAGGATTCATGATTTCCGTGAGTGGCATAAACCCTATACAAATGATAGTGGGGAAAGTAGGGTAGCTCGGGGCCTGAGCATACAAGATTATGATGAGACCCTCTGCACAGTGCAACATATGCTAATTAACATTCCAATGATATAATAATTTATTTTCCCTCTTCTTTGCATTGTTTTATGTTTTAATGAACCTTCATTAAAAGTTACGAGTTGATTAAAATGAGCAATGTAAGGCTAAAATCTCAATAGGTTAAACCATATGGACAGGTAACGACCACTGGAAGCTCGAACCATGAACAGTAAGACACCGAAGACGTTGCATAATACGTGTCACACCGCTATATATGTTGTGAATCTCTATACATAAACCTCAATGTACACCTTATGCGCTGTATCATGGCCACTCAAATTGTTTGTATCACAATAGGTCAACTCTTTGAAAAACTAATAAAGATACAATGAAAAAAAGAAAAGGCCGTTAGGAAGGGAGTATTGAAAAACTTGTATGTTTATATTTAAATGTTCCATTTAATACAATGATTTTTCTGAAGAGGCCAAAGTGTCTTTATAGCTCAAATATATATGCACTTTACTTTTGTAGTTTTATTTAAATTTTTTATTGTGTGTATATTTTCTCACACTGTGATTTGGTTTTCTTTAATATTCATTAAAGGGACACTATAGTCACCAGAACAACTACAGCTTATTGTATTTGTTCTGGTGAGTAGAATCATTACCTTCAGGCGTTTTGCTGTAAACTCTGTCTTTTCAGATAAAATGCAGTGTTTACATTACAGCCTAGTGATAACTTCACTGACCACTCCTCAGATGGCTGTTAGAGATACTACCTGGGTCATGACTGCTTAAAATGCATCCAAACATTCAGTATCTCCTCCCTCTGCATGCAGACACTGAACTTTCCTCATGGAGGTTCATTGATTCAATTCATGTCTATGAGGAGATGCTGATTGGCCAGGGCTGTGTTTGAATCATGCTGGCTCTGCCCTGGATCTG